TGCTTACTGAGGGTACTAGCGCGAGCGAGAGACGTCAGCGAGAGGCGCTGAAGCGTGGTCTCCTCTCGGTGATCGACGATCTCAGCAGCGGAGGTGCCACTCCTCGCTGGGGCGACGTCTATCGTACTTTGACTGAGCAGAGCAGCGGCGAGGTGGACGGTGGGCAATTCACAGAGGCAGTCCGCACGCTGGAGACGGAAGGTTACGTGAACGTTCTAGGGGAGGGTGCGCGACGGAGCATCCGACGTATCGGAGGTCGACTTCTGTAATCAAATGATGGGATCATGATGCCACGGAACAGTATGTATGTAATCTGGGACAAGCGTATATTGAGTCAGCCGCATGGATTCAAGGGTACCAGGGCAGGGACGGTGTCTGGTGTTTTTTGTCCTGTTCAATATTCATTTACTCGAGAGAGCAACTCTCACGAACGAAGCAATAGATAATTCAAAACACATAACATAATCAAAGAATTCCTCCCTAATAATACAACCCGCGATCCAGATCTAAATCCGTCCCCTCAGGCCACAGCCTTTTCACCATCCCCTTCGCACGCTCAACCTGCTGCCCATCCACAAGAACCCCAACCCTACGTAGCAACCCCAACACCTCAGTCACCCAAAACCGACACCCCACCCCATCAGCATCAAACTCATACTTCTCCCTCCCACTCCCCACCACAACATCCACCACGTCCCCCACAGTCAACCCAGCCCTAACATCCACCCCAACCGCAAACTCAAGCAACGCATCCGGACCCGCAGGCGCATTCAACTCAGATAAAATAACATACGCTTTCGACCCCCCAGTCAAAACGCTACTGGGCACAGTATGGCTAGGCTGACAGTCCAGGGAGACGCACGTCGTCTCTGACGAGGAGAGGTAGAAGCACCAGTGGTTTGTTCTCTTGGTTGTTCCGACGGGGACTTGGGCGTGGGGGCTTGCGATTATGCGGAGGATGTTGGTGGAGAGGATCTGGGGGGCCCTGCGTGGGGGGATGTAGTGGATTGGGGAGGTGGACATTGGTTCTTTCTTTAGGGATATTTTAAATGTAGGTTTGCAAGAGGTTAGGTTTTGGGGGGATGGCTTGGTGAGGTGTTGGTACTAGTAGTAGTAGTACGGACTGAAGTAAGCTGCCTTCTTTGCCTAGCCAATCATGAAGTGCATGCTGTGTAGTGGACGGTGATATTGGGGGTTTTTGCTGAAGCGGAATTCTATTTTGTATTACAAAGTACGTAGTCGTTAGCTGCGGTGAATCTTCGGGGAACTACTGTAGTATTAAATGTTGCGAATACATTCAGGAGCAAGGTCTCCACTGATTGGCGTCTATAAGATGATCAATATAGGAAGGAGCGGTGTCTCTTAATGAAGGGGTGTTTGAGTGTGGTCACTGAGACCTACTCTGTATCATACTAGTACACAGTGTGTTTTTTTCTTGTGAGCACTTTGATGATATAACGCATTATGCATGTACTAGGTATAAATGTGTTCAACTATTATTTTCAAGTTTGGCATGTCTCGAACATAAGTCGTTTCTATCTCTTTCTAATCCATATACTTGCATAGAGGCAGACGGTAGCTCTCAATCTGCCAGTATGCTCTGCGCACGCCATCCCACTCGTTATCCAACTTAGGTAGCGCGATCTCCTCCCATTCAACATCAAATCCAGCATCCATCAGGTCCATCTCGGCCACCTTCTGGTAGACGTCGTAGCTGATTTGCCGGTCCGCTCCCATACCGTTAAAGAAACTCCACTTCCCTTCTTGCTCAAGCAGTCCGATAACCTGCTCACTGAAGAACTCCCGGAAGTCGCCATACGACTCAGCAAATGTATCGTAGTAAATGGCATCAAACATAACTCCCTGTCCGACCAAGTCAGGGAGAATATCCTGCCATCGGCCCTCGTGGATCGTAACACCCGGCTTCTCACCCCAGCCCTTCCGCTTCATCTCAGCGACAACCTCCGGGTGCGCTTCAATGATATGGTGCTCTGCAGGCGACTGCTCCTGAATGAAGCCATCCACAATACCCATACCATGTCCGACATTCAGAACACGCAGTCCAGAAGTAGGCAGTAGCTTCTTCGCCGACTTGGCCATAATATCCGACTCCCAAGCCATCATAACACCGTTCTGATCCTGATCCAGCAAGCGATCATTCTGGAAAGTCAAATTCGAATCAAGATACCGGGAATTGGTGACATCGGGACCTGTCTCCATAACCGTGTCAGTAGTCGTAGCCGCCTCGACCAACTGAGGAACAGATTCACTCTCCACTTCCACCACTTCAGCCCCAGCTTCAGCCGTCTCTTCGTCGTCGTCGTCCTCCTCCTCTTCCTCATCATCATCCTCAAGCTCCTCATACCCATCCAACCGATTCAAAAGCAACTCAGCCCGCACACCGGCATCGACCATCTGCTCATACAACTCCCCCAACCCCAACCGCCTAGCAACACACCCAGGCGTCTCATTGTTATTATCAAGATCATTCCAGATTGCACCCTCCTGCAGCAAAAACCTCACAGTCGCCGAGCCCTTTTCCACAACGCTCTTCTGCTCGTCTGTCTGCTCCCCGTTGGTCTGGACGCCGTTCGGCTCGTCGTCGTCAGGCTCGCAGGCCGCAATTGCCGCATGCAGCGGCGCGTACCCAGTTTCGGGGTCTCTGACGTTGACGGGGTTTGCGATTGTTTGGTTTGAGCGGATTAGTTGGCGGAGCTTAGGGATGTCGTGTTGGGAGGCGGCGAGGAGGATTTCTTGGACGTCGAGGTCGACGTCGATTTCTGTTGTTGGGTCGGTCATTTTTTTGTTTTTCTTTTGTTTTGTTTTTTTTCTTCTCTGTGGGTTTGAGCTGGATTGTTTGTTAGACTGTCATGTTTCCGGTGTTTAGGTATGTGCTTGAATTGGGCCCTGAGGGATTGGTGGGATTGGTGCGGGGCAGTGGTAGGATGATTGAGGCTGGATTTACCTTTTACGGGTCGAGGGGGGTTTTTACTGGTATAGGGAATTTATGTAGACGACGGGGAGGTACCAGTGGTTTCCTTGTATTAAAGCGACTGGGCTGGAGTCGACTTGAAAGTGTAGGAGTGAAATATTTCTTCCCCGCCGTTGATATAAAATTTCCGCCCGCCGCGTTCATCAACTCCGCGCGCGGAGCCAATCGCATTCCGCGGAGCATAGACAGAGACTCAACGCCAGGTCATCTACTAAGAGAATATGGCCAGGATGATTATTGTATTTCGTAGTCAAATCATATTGAAAGAGAAGAGAAACATTTCGCCCGATTGCTTTGAGAATCCTAAAAATCACTCGAAACTATTTGTACAGATACCTTGTCCCACACCCCAATCGTCCATTCCAAAGCGACATCAATAGCGCTAGTAAGAATGAGGGCCGATGCAACCAACTGAATATAATAGCGAAGCTAGGCTTCCTCAGAAACTTCATCTGCGGGGAGCCGTCTTTGTCATTATTCCTTTCCTAAGAGAATTTCTTATTTCGAGTCCTCGACGTTGGCGTTAACGTTCAGACCCAGACCCTGGGAATCCAGGTACAGCTTGTTCTTGCCACCGTTCTCCTGCAGAATCTGGGCAATATGACGAGCATTCTCGATCTTACGCAGCTCGATGTAACTCTTGCTCTTCTTGATGGCATCACCAATGAGTTCGGCGGAGCGAGCCTCACCCTGGGCGCGGACAATGAAGGCTTGCTTCTCTTGGCGGGCCTTGTCGACCAGGAAAGCAGCACGCTGGGCTTCTTGTTGGGCGACTTGCTTGGCCTCGACAGCGGCGGTAAATTCAGGGGAGAAGGTCAGGTGCTGTCAAAGAGTACAACGTCAGTATTTTGGAACATTTCAGATCCCTGCAAGGGTTCGGGAACCATACCGTAAGCGACACATCGTCCAGAGCAATGTTAAAGCGAGCGGCTCGGCGAGCGAGGCTATCCCGAACCATCCTGGCGACATTCTCACGCTGGGTGATAAGCTGACTAGCGTTGAACTGCGCAACCACGCTCTTGAGGACCTCGTTGACAATCGAAGGGAGGACTCGCTCATCGAAATCCTGTCCAAGGGTACGGTAGATCTGTGGAAGAGCATCCACTCGGGGCCTTGACAGAACACGGCAGGTGATGTTCACCATCTGCAAGTCCTTGGTACCAGTGAGGGAAGCGATGTTCCGCGGCTTCGCGCGCACGTCATAGATAACCGGCGTTTCGATCCATGGGATCCTGATGTGAGTACCTGACGTGAAGATAAATAGTTAGCACGCGATCGAAGAGATGGAAGGAAGGCAAAAAGAGAAGATTTGCGCCGGCATACCTTCACTGTAGATCTCTTTCTGAACACCACCTATTCTCGAGTACTTGATTGCACGGTGACCACCGTCGACTAGAAACCGCCTCAGTCAGCCATTTTGTTTATATTACCGGAACAGTAAATGGATTCCGACATGCTCACCATTGAAGAGGGAGTTTGATATAGCCCATCCACCAACACCGAGCAAGAGTAGAGCTCCCGACAGCCCCAGGCCACCACGTCCCCCACCGGAGGGGAAACCGCCAAAGCCAAAGCCTCCACGGCTTCCGCGGTTCTGTAGAATCACTTGGAGTCTCTCCCACTGTTCCCTTGGGTTCCGAGCCATGATGGTGGTTTGAGAGAGGAATAGAATAATATGAGAGAAGACGATGTGACGGAGCCGGCGTTGAGGTTCTTTCGATGTTCCGGCAAATCGTCCGTTTGGGTCACCGCCTTCAAGTAAAGCTCAAGCTTCCAGTAAAGCTGCCCGTCAACTTACTCCAACTACACCAAATTGTCTACTGGGGGTTAAGAGTAGGCTACGAATTCTTTGTGTGATACAAGATATTCCTTACGCTTGAGCCGAAATTGTGTGGGAACCTCCGCATCCTGCCAAAATCACCCTCGAGCCATTCGCACCCTGCGTCTTTACGTCTTAATACCCCCATTGGTAGAAAGAGCCTGCAGATTGTCTTTAACTCCGGCAAAGATGGCGCCTCCTGAAAGAGCCGGAAAGAGTGTCTTTTTGGGAAATATCCCATACAGTAGGTGCTTCCATGTGACAAATGTCCTCATACAATTGACGCTAACGCCCAATCTCAGATCTCACAGAGGAGCAAGTTAAAGACATTCTTAGCTCCGCGGGCACAGTAACCAAATTTCGTTTGATGATGAACCCGGAGACCGGAAAACCTAAAGGATATGGGTTTGCAGACTTCGCCGATGCCGATGCAGCCGCCTCCGCAGTTCGCAACTTGAATGACTATGAGGTCATGGGACGGAAGATCCGCGTGGATTGGCCTCACAACAACGAGAAGGATTCGATACCCCCAGATTATTCGCAGACATCTCAAGTACCCGGACAGGATGGGCAGATGGGTGCACAGCAGTCATCCGCGCCTCTGCCACCTCTTCCCCCGGGCGTGGACCTCCCTCCGCACCTAGACTGCCCGAATGCAATCTCCCAAACACTCTCCTCTCTCCCTCCGAATCAACTCCTCGATGTACTCTCTCAGATGAAGTCATTGGTCATGGCTGACCCGGCACGCGCCACGGAACTTTTACGACAAGCCCCTCAACTGGCATACGCTATATTCCAGGCCCTGCTCCTGATGAACCTTGTCGACTACAGCACGTTAGGGACGGTGGTGGAACAGGCTGCTCAGCCCCAAGCGGCAGCCGCCGCTCCCCCCGCAGCGCAGTCTTTTCAGCCATTCTCAGCCGTACCCGGTCCGGTCTCCACACCACCTCAGCCTCAGCAACAAATGTCTGGGCAAGACGAACTCTTGCAGCAAGTGCTTAGTATGCCACAGTCGGCTATTGATGCACTACCTCCGATGGAACGGAGCCAAATCATGCTTCTACGACAGCAATTAATGCAAGGTGCAATGCGGTGATGATATAGCGAGATCGATCTAGATCAACGGACTTACATGATTTCGGTACTTTTGAAACCTCCACACTTTATTTTTTTACGTCTTCTTTCCTCTTTTGTCTTTTTTTTTGCCTCTTCTTATGTTCCAATGACAAATGGGAAGGCGCAAGATGGTTCATGTGATTTGACAAGGGAATGTATACTTAGTTTTAGTACAGGCTATTGATAGTAGTAGATATCCCATATCTTGATTATTTTTTCGTTCTTCTCTTCTTGTTGGTTGTTTCCTTATCGCTCCCCTTCACGCCACCACATAAATTAATTAACCCACGCAGATTTCACGTAAATTAATGTATGAGAAGATTAATATCGAGACCAAAATTTAAATAAAGAAAGAAAAGATACACACACACACACACACACACACACACACACACAAAAAGCCAGGCTGAAGGACTCGAGTGTCACACAACGAAGTCAAGCGGATTCTTCCAATGCAACTTCGTCCGAAAATGGAAGACTCGCTTTAATTGATTATTTCTTGCACTACTGACCGACATTCCCCAATGTGACGTATTTCTCTCTCCTTCTGGGCATTTCCAGGTTCATTCACTTCAGCCACATTCTGCACATTTAAACTATGTCTCTCTCTATGGTGACAAAAGTCTGGTTCAGCTAGAGACCCTAGCGCACGAAGATCAACACCCCCCTGAACTCTATCGCCTAGCCTGAGGTCCATACCCTCCCATTGACACTCAGTTGGCTAAGCATTCCATCAAAGTGTACATATCATATGCCTTATAGCGCTTATGCAGCTAGAGAGTACGCAAGCCACTAGTGACAAGCCAAGACCAGAAGGAAGGACCAACCACGCTCCAGAGATAGTCTATTGTTTCAGCTATCGACTGGACACCCGAGCGGAACCGCATCCAATTGTGTCGATCAGATGCGACAAGGGAATAGTCTCACATTAGATCACGATCGACCCGTGTCATTAGCACGCTCTGGGTCTGTCTTCCATGGTAATAGGCTGTGTTGCAACGGATTGTACTCCCGGTGAAAGACTGTGACAAACAACTACTTAAAGCCCTCCTAGGCCTGAAATTGTTGTTGCCACATCAAATAAAGGAAACTTTATCCTGAAGAAACAATGGATTTGTTGAATATGGGAAATTTGAGTGACTTCCAGACCCACCTACAGACTGCATATCAGGCACGTCAACGCCTACAGAATTTGCTGAAAGATGGCGCATTTGACATTGACGGAGCTAGCCTTGACATCTCTGCTATAGTGGCAGTAGCATAGTAAGTAGTACACCCTCTAAACTTTGTGACAATTGGGTGATTTTGACACTGAACAGCTATGGCTGCATACCCAAGATCACCACGGATCCTGGTGTCCTTGAAAAGATTGAAGCAAGCGTGCAGGTACTGAAAGACCATTTGGATAAGGGCTATCATGTTTACGGTCAGTGCCCCTTTTTCACTTGAATTGTTTTATAAACGTGTGTACTGATGCTCTTCGAAGGTGTCAATACTGGCTTCGGCGGCAGTGCTGATTCTCGAACGGATCGAGTGATCGCATTGCAATCCGGACTCTCCCAGCTTCTGCAAGCAGGTGTGCTAGTGGCCTCAGATAAAGATACCAATGTGGACCTTGAGCGACAGGGCCGCTTGGATTCACATGCTGTGCCCGTTCCCTGGGTGCGAGCAGCCATGTTGGTTCGGTGCAATTCGAACGCCCGCGGCCACTCTGCAGTTACACTTTCAGTGATGAAGTCCATCTTGCAGCTTTTGGAGAGTCGTATTACACCGGTTGTTCCTTTACGAGGCTCCATCTCCGCGTCTGGGGACCTCATTCCACTTTCTTACATTGCAGGCGCGATTGAAGGCAATCCCGATGTGCATGTCCACGTACAGGATTCTCATAAACCCCAGATAATGTCTTCTAGAGATGCACTTTTGTCTGCCGGTATGGAGCCTCAAGTGCTAGGTCCTAAGGAGGGATTAGGCCTGGTCAACGGCACTTCATTCTCTGCAGCACTGTCCAGTCTCGTTATGTACGAGACTCATCAACTGGTCGTGCTAGTGCAGGCAATATCAGCTGTGGCTTTAGAAGCACTCATGGGTAACGCTGAGAGTTTCCATCCCTTCATCTCTGCTATTCGCCCTCATGACGGCCAGATGGAGTGTGCCAGGAATATCCTTTCCTTTCTCCAGGGATCTCGTCTTGCCCAGGGTATTCAAGGTGTGAAGGCTCATACTCGCCAAGGTTTAATGCAGGATAGATATGCGCTTCGATGTGTGCCTCAGTGGATCGGACCTCAGCTGGAAGACCTCCTGCTCGCACATAAGCAAGTCACCGTTGAACTTAACTCAACAACAGATAACCCGCTGATAGACCCCGAGACCGGGGATATTCTCCACGGAGGCAATTTCCAGGCTGTTTCCGTTACTTCTGCCATGGAAAAGACAAGATCTTGCCTTCAAATGTTTGGCAGGCTCCTCTTCTCTCAGTCTACTGAGCTGGTCGACCCAAGCCTTAACAACGGGCTTCCTACCAATCTTGTCGCCGATGACCCAAGTCTCTCCTTCACTATGAAGGGCGTCGATATCAGCATGGCCTCATACATGGCAGAGCTAGCTTATCTTGCCAACCCAGTGAGCTCGCACGTACAAGCAGCAGAAATGCGTAACCAATCAATCAACTCCATGGCTTTTGTATCAAGTCGGTACACCATGCAAGCAGTCGAAATAGTGTCGCTCATGTGCGCTTGTAGTCTGTACATTGGATGCCAGGCCTTGGATCTCCGAGTACTACATTTGACCTACCTCGATAACGCTAAACCCCAACTCCATCAGCTTACATCGGATCTCTTCTCCTCATACCTATCAGACCCAGAGCTTGCAAATCTGACCGAATCCCTATGGGAAGATATCGCAAAAAGCTGGTCGACAACAACTCGTCAGGGTATACCTGAGCGAGTGCAAGCAGCCGTTAAAGACGCTATTCCTACACTACTGGGCATTCTGAAAGAGAAGCGTGGCCCAGGCCTTTCGGATCTGAACCGATGGGAAACCCAAGCAGCCGCCCTTCTCAATAAGACTTACCAGGATACGGCAGATGCATTCTTTAACCAGCAACACACCGAAGAGTTTTTGGGCGCTGGTGCTAAGATTCTTTACCGCACCGTTCGCCAGGATCTCAACGTTCCTTTCCACTTGGGCTTCGTGGAGCACCCGACAGCTAATAATGATACCCTGAACGGTCGCTCGAAAAAGACCATTGGATCTTGGATATCAATCATCTATGAGGCTATTCGCGATGGTAGATTAATGGGTCCTTTTATGGAATCTCTTGCTTCAAAGAGCTCTAGTGCTGACGACTCTTTGACAAAGATACGGAGTCTACGGATGTCCCGACTTTAAATTAGTGATCCAGATTCTGCAAGTATAGACTTTGCATAAGTGCTTGAATAGCCTTGACGGTTGATTTCATCAGGAGAACTATTTAGCTTACTTTCAGCTTTATCATTACTGTGCTTGGATTGCGATTCATAGCTGTTCCATAGATGAACCTTAGCATGTTATTCATTGCTTGACTCTTGAATTCAATTCAAGTGATCTTCGGAGAGTAAAGCTACAAACCTTAGGTTTCTGTACTTTGTAAATCGGCCCAGCGTCCAACGTTGGATAGCTATTCCTACACACGCAAAGGGCTTATTGAAAATCTCACGCATGCCCTCACCCAAGCGTCACAGAGTATATAACTAGGATGAATTTTCAGCATGCGTATAGAGTTAACATTCTTCAACTTCTTTCAGGCCACCTCGGCGCCTCAAGTGATACAAGTGAGCATACAAGATGGCCAATATAAACGGTTAGGAAACACATCAATGGGTTATTCAGGCTATCATACTTGCAATCCTTACGGTCTAGTATCTTATTACTTCTGTTGAACGAGTTGACCCTTGGCAGTTGGAAACTTTCTATCTTGATGGAAGGTAGAGATCATAAGCTTTCATCTTCTGTGGGTGTTAAATGCCTGGGAAATGCCAGGTACTACTGACCAGGTACTAAGTGCTGCTCTATCCTACAAGAACGAGCGGTTTTGAGCCAGGCACCCTTTTGTTGTGGGCTTGGTTGTTGTGTTTTTTGAGGGCGTGAGCGTGTTAGATGTTTCTGATTCATATATAGCTATACTATGTCGATAAAACTCAACCATAAAAAGAAATCAAGCAAAGCATGCTGCCCACAGTCCTTACATTTTCCATCTGTTGTAGTATCCCAACAAGAGCAGCATTGTCGGGGCAGGCATACCCCCTTTGGGATATGTTATCCCATTCACTACCAGACATGAAACATAACATAGCAAATGGTTGGCTTAGGATGTAACGATGCAATTTCACTACAAACGATGCGATTACCCCTGTAGCCAGTGAAGTTCTCATTGCCTCCCTTAGGGGCCCAGTCTCACACGCCCACAAATGTATTTTTCTCCTATATCTACATCTCCCAAGCACACTCACTGTCCTCATCCACGTGACAGCATTGTGCCCTACAGCACTCATCTGCATACATTCCGGCTCATACAGCTCGTTCTTACAGAGGAATATCTTTTGGATCAGCAAGATCTCATTTATCTCTTCTTTCAGGAGCTTCGTCTTGCTACATACATTCGAAATGGCTCGTGGCAAGAGACCCGCCTCCTCTACTCCCTCCGCGCGCGCAACCAAGCGTAGACGCACCCAACCCACCGACGCTGGACAGACCAGTTCAAGATCTACTTATCTCACCGAATCTCAGACTGTTGGCATGGACCCTGAGTTGCCAGAAGTCATTAGATCAGAACCGCATTTTGGTAAAAGACGGCTCAGCACACAGCTGGCTCTGAATCTCCCGCCTCTTCATAGACTGAGTGACATCTATCGTTCCATCACTGCTCAAGCACTGGAGCTTAACCTTGGAGAGTTCCTTCAGCATATTGGATCGAAGCCTCTGAGGATCGTAACTGCTTGCTCGGGGACTGAGAGTCCGTTGTTGGCCTTAGAATTGGTACAGGACAGTGAGTTTTCCCCTCATTCTTGTCTTGCTTCTTTTATGAGGGTGAGACTTACCTGACTGACGTGTCTTCGATAGATCTGAGGAAGCACTTCGATCGAGACTTCAGCTTTCGTCATCTTTTCAGTGCAGAGATTGTACCTTATAAGCAGCGCTATATCGATAATAACTTTCATCCGCGTCTGCTCTTTCGTGATGTGACTCAACTGAAGGACCGTGTTGCGTAAGTTTTCTCGATTTCTCTCTCTTCATTCTTTTTTTTGGTGCCGCCCTCCCTTCCCTCTGGTTGTACTTGTTTCTATGTCTTTTTGTTTTATGGGATTTGCTTTTGTTTTCAAACTTTTTTTGGTTGCTTTGGCCCTTGTTGCATTAGCCTCACCCCCTTAGTCCGAGACGCCGTGCTTGACAAGATCTCCGCTAACTTTCGTCGAAAAGTCAAACCGCTTATGGCTCTCTCGAGAAGGTTCCCAGGAACCCAGACTTGTTAATTGCCGGATTCTCTTGCGTGGACTTCTCTTCACTGAACAACAAGCGCAAGACCCTCGACGACAGCGGAGAATCCGGCGGGACATTCTGGGGGATCCTCGGCTACGCAAAGAGATACAGGCCGCGAATCGTCGTACTGGAAAACGTACGGACGGCCCCATGGGGGAAGATCGCCGAGGCATGGGGCGGCATTGACTACTTCGCGTGCCATGCAGAGGTAGACACCAAAGCATACTACCTCCCACAGACCCGCGAGAGAGGGTACATGCTCTGCATTGACAGGCAGCGGATGCGAGAGCACGGTCTGGAGGAGACAGCCATGGCGGACTGGGTCAAGATTCTGTCTCAGTTCAAACGCCCTGCGAGCTCACCGGCCGGTATGTTCTTGATGGACCCTGACGATCGTAGACTGGAGCAGATAGAAAACGATATGACGACGCGGCTAGCGTCGCATACAGTCTACAGCTGGGAGCGATATCAAGTCAGGCACCAGAACTACCGCATGAACATGGGCCTGGGACACCGTCGCCCGTTCACGCGCTCGCAGGAGGACGGATCTTCTCAGATGCCGGATTTCACCTGGCAACATTGGCTCCGAAGTATGCCAGAGCGAGTCTGGGATACGCTTGACGCCAATTTCCTTCGCAAGCTCGTGGAAGGTTATGACATGAACCACAAAGAGTAAGCACTCTACTACCTCCCACCTCTCCCCTACTCCAACTCCCCAATCTTCCTCTTCATTTCTCCCCCGCCTCCCGCCCTCCCTCCCATGGCGGGGGAAATTGAAGTATATTTCGCTAACATTCATTTTCCAGACGTTGCATCGAGTTATCTCAGGGCATCGACCGAGAGGTTGACACCCGGGCGTACGGCATAGTAGGCTGTATCACTCCCTCCGGCATCCCGTATTTGACCACCAGGGGTGGCCCTCTCTGTGGACTCGAGTCCCTTTCTCTTCAGGGATTGCCGTTAGATCGATTGATACTTGCCCGCGAAACCCAGGCGGAACTTCAACAACTCGCTGGAAATGCGATGAGTTCGACGGTCGTTGGCGCTGCTATTCTCTCTGCCCTTATTGTGGGCCATAAAATACTCGATAAAGGTAGTCGGCAGCCTCGTCCGAAGAAAGATGTTCCGAAGCACAAACGGTTTGAGCTGTGTCACGATCATGAACTCGTTTCCGGCAGAATTAATGTCGACGAAACGGCCCATGTAACCATCTCCGATATCCAAGCTCAAGCCGCACGTAGCGCGAGATACTGCGTGTGCGAACGTCAAACTGCCATAAAGCGCGAGATCCTTCGGTGCAAGCTCTGTGGTCATACCGCTTGCTCGGACTGTGCCGGTAACCCGACTCATGATTATCAATGTGCTTCTGAAGTGGTGCGTGCCCAGCCGTTAGATTTCGTCAGCCGACTCCGAAGCTCTCTCCCCGCCCGACTGGTTATATCCGGTATTTTGCAAGAGCATTATGATGTCTTCAAGGCGGACATATCGATCGATTGTCCCCCTAGTGTCTGGAAGAAATTCTTAGACGCTGTAGCTCTATTAATGAGCGACGAGTTCCGTTTTGTCGACATCAAAAGAAGTTCAGTGTGGACGGTCACCTATGAGGGTAAGCATGGAGTTATAAGTCTTGTTGTCAGTGATTCTTGGTCGTCTTGGTCACTCCATGCAAAGCCCTCAGAAGATGAACCTGTCGTCTGTCTCTTTCGCGAAATTTTCTCGAAGCCAATTGCACGCATGACCCCCAGTCCCGATTCCCTTCTGGAAGGCGAATGGGAGATTCTCTCTCCTATCAGTTCAAAGTGTACGCTCACGTTTTCGGGAACTGAACATCGCATGGAATCTTTCGAAGCTAAATGTGGTATTCAAGTGAAAGGCTTCCCTGAATCCAAAGTATGGACACAAATTGCGGTCGATGGCTCTGATGATGATATCGAAAGTTTTGGAATAGACATCCGAGGGACATATGATCTTCTTCCTCACTGCGGAACAGCAAACGGTTGTTTGCATAAGAAACCGGCCGTTGGAAATTTTCCTGCAATCTACTTCTTTTTGGATCCCTCGAAGCTCGATGAGCCAATGTACGACTCATTTGTTTTTTCTTTGGAGCATGAACGGACTCTTGGGTATGCACCTCGCTCAATAATCGCGGAATTTTCTCACAAGTGGCGGTCTTCAAGTCTGGGTCCGAAGCCAGAGTATACCAACGTGTACTATCGTAAGGCTATCAAGCTGCAAGCGGTCACGTTGGCTTCCTATGTTCCGGATGCTCCAATCATCTGCTCCAATCTGAAGCCGCTCGCATCAATGGTGGTCAGTAATCGGGACTGTCGTAGTGCGAATATCACCCTTCTCTCTTTTGAAGCACAAGCCACCACTATCGATTCTTTCTGGAAGAAGGGGCCATGGGAGGTGGCTAATCCCGTGGAATCTCCCGCTCTACTTGGACATGTTTCTTGGTTACTCCAAAAAGCAGTTGGCTTTTCTGCGTTCAAGGATTGGATCTCAGTCAACGAAGACAAATTATCGGGCAAGTCGGGAAGTCCTGTATGTGGAGTGTGTGTACCAACGAAGCCCCGAATCATATGGGGTCGCAGCACGAGAGGACAAATCAAGGCATACGAGGATCCACACGATGCAGCTCTGTACGAACAACAGATCAAGTTCAGGCCTCCACCTTTTTTGGTATTCCGTCAAGTCGACGAGTATGATACTGGACATATGCGCGTCACGCTCAACGTTCAGACTCTGTTGCATCAAGCCTACGAGAAGCTCTTGAACACGAATGACTCTGGCAACGCTTCTTTCTTCTGGCGCGTCGTGCCCAACTCTTATGACTCGAGACATCTCGTGTTCCCCAATTTCAGCCTTGTCAGTAACAGAAACGATGCTCAAAGCGCTCAGCCGCCTAACTTCCAACTCGATCTGCGGCCTGAGCAGCTGCGCTCCCTCTCGTGGATGATTCACCGCGAGAGTGTTGATATTGAGCCTTTCATCGAAGAAGAGGTAGAAGAGGCATTGCTTCCTATGCTGATGTGGCGCGCAGAGGGCAAAGTATGCGTCGAGAAAACCGTCCGCGGCGGTGTCCTAGCGGACGACGTTGGGTATGGAAAAACAGCTATCACTCTTGGACTGATCGATACTCAGCACAATCAGCAGACTGAACTAGAGCTCATAGATGGCTTCATCCCCACAAATGCTACTCTCATCGTCGTGCCCAAGATCATGATCAAACAGTGGCAGTCCGAGATCACAAAATTCCTCAAGGATACGTATCGTGTGTTGGTGATCGACGGACTAGCTGCATTGGGAAGAAAGACCGTTCGAGATATTCAGCAGGCAGATATCATCTTGGCTTCTTGGGCTGTCTTTAACAGCTTGAATCATTATGAGAAATTGCAACAGTTCACCGGCATGCCACGAGTCCCGCCAAAGGCAGGCCGCAATTTCGACGATTGGTTTGTTAAAGCGCATGCGGTTATGATGGAGCAGATACAGCTCCTAGTGGATCAAGGCCCCAGCACAGTGCTTGAATCAATACAGCTAGACGCCAGGAAGTCAAGAATAACGAAGCTAATTCCACATATATCCCATCAAAGCGGCTTAAGGGAGACCAATATGTAGACATTCGCCAAGGCCAGGACCCTGGGGCCGAAGCGGAGACTCAACATGTCGATTCATCAAGTGAGGATGAGAAGTCGGATTCTAGCGAGGAGGAGGAGGATCCCGAAGAAATTCGGGCCAGAGTCGATAGACTCCTTAAACTCCAGCCTAGGACAATCGCCCCCACGACCTCGAAAAAGGAAAAAGATGATGATAGTGACTCAGGAGAGAGCGAGGATGAGGAAGGCCCGGCGGCATCACGCTCAAGAAAAGCACAAGGCTCTGGTGAAAGGGGCCAAGGCGTGAAGCGCAAACGTGCACCGGTTAAGACGGCCAAAGTCTGGGACGATAGAAAGGAGTTCGGCATAAATAACACCACTCAACAAAATTGGACGACGGTCAAGCTTCCTCTTCTCCATGCCTTCTCATTCAACCGACTTGTTATTGATGAGTTCACTTTTGCGAACCCCGAACGACTGGTGCCTCTTCTCAAGCTTCAAGGTCGTTCGAAATGGGTCCTATCTGGCACACCGCCGCTGAACGACTTTGCTGATGTCAATACCATTGCACCCTTCTTGGGCATCCATCTCGGTATTGACGATGACGACATTCAATCACAAAACGCACGACTTAAGATGATCCGCAAGCAGCGATCAGACGCAGAATCTTTCCAGGCGCTCCGGGCCCCTCGGAGTGAGGAATGGCATCGTCGACGACATAGTATTGCACAGAAATTCTTGGATGAGTTCACTCGTAAGAATGTTGCAGAGATAGGTGAGATTCCGTCATCAGAGCATATAATTCTCATCCAGCAATCACCTGCCGAGACAGCGATATATCTTGAGTTGTGCAAGCAGTTGATGACATACAACCGTTTGGGTCGTCGAGGTAGCAGAAAGGGTATCAGGGGTGATCAAGAAGATAGACTGGATGAAGTGATTGGAAGCAGCAAAACAAGCGAAGAAGCCCTTCTCAAACGGTGTTCATCTCTCGCTTTGCAGGGTCGCTGGCACAACGGTGTACCTGAAGCTCTCACCTGCAGCCTGCTGATTGAGACTCGATTGAAACAGCTCGAGTGCCTCAAGGAAGAACTCATGCTGAAGTTCAAGCAAGCTGCGTGGGTATACTGTGCTTGTGACTTGAGACATGAAAAGTTCCACGAGTTCATTGAGAGCATAAAGGCGCACGATTTCGGTGACAAGACTGTAACGGAAAAGATATACCCGCTCATTAAGAGTGCAATGCTCATTTCAAAGACAGATGACTGGAAGCTATTCTTTTCTGATCCAGCACAAGTCGCCGAGGACTTATCTGATGCAGAAATGCGGGATGAGACTGCGCTGAAAGAGGACAATGACGGTGCCGGAGAAGAGGTAAGCTCTGCCAGTACTTCACAAGGACTGAATACAACATTAAAGCTAACAAATAATGGGAAACAGGCCAGTATACAAGCTTCAAAGCGTGGTACAAAGGGTGCAATGATTGTTAAGCAAGGTGGGAAGAAAGAAAAAGCACCAGAACTCCCAGTCAAGCCAACCCACATCAGCGAGTTCAAGCTCACGCTGCGAACAGTCACGAGTGGTCTTCGAAAGCTGATCCTTGAATGGGTTGCACGGGAAAGGGCGCTCAGGCTTTTAGCGGCACTACACCTTGTTCAGACTGGGACAGAGATTGCTGGATGCAGTTCCTGTCATTCAACGACAGAAACAGCGAACCGCATCAACATACTGGGCTCATGCGGCCATGTCCTATGCTCACAATGCACCCTGAAGACGATTCAGAAAGAAGAGTGCAACGTTGAAGGCTGCCGGGGCTCAGGAAAAGAATTCAATGTCATGGACGCGTCTACTCTTTTGCGCGATGAGAAGGACAGAATCACCAAATATGGCGGCAGCAAACTGGACAAGATGATCGAAATCATTCAGGCAGTTCCCACAAGCGATCGAGTCCTCCTCTTCATCCAGTTCCCCGAGCTTATAGACGTGGCATCCAAAGCTTTAGAACTAGCAAGGATTAAGTACACTTCAATCTTAGCGACTGACCGCAGAGCAGCACAGAAGGTCCAGCACTTTCAGGAAGCCGGTGGCTTTGGTGAGAACCAAGTGTTGATTCTGAACTTGGGGAGCGAGATGGCCGCTGGATTGTGAGTTGACTGTCAACTTATGTCTCAGTCTTAACTAACAGAGATTAGAAACCTTCAGTGTGCAAACCACGTTATATTTCTCTCACCTATGTTTGCTCAGACCCAGTACGACTATGATTCGTCGATGACCCAAGCTATCGGACGAGCCAGACGATATGGACAGACCAAGCACGTCTACATATATCATCTGTTGGCAAGGATGACCATCGACACTACCCTCTTCCAAGACCGTCGTGGGAAAGTGCTGGTCGAGAGAGATGGCGAGGCCACCCTCGCGGCGAGGGAGGAAGTTGAGGAGTGGGAGGTGGTGAAAGGAGAGGTGATGTCTGTTGTGGTGGACAACGCGTTCTAATGTGGGACAAATCTCGCTTGGGATACACGTGATTCTTTCTTTTGTGTTTTTGCGTGAATTGATACACTTGGTTCTAAAAGAAACCTGTTTGGGTTGTGCGGGCAGAGCAGTTGTTGGCTGGTGGAGTTGGTGAATTGGTGAATGGGGGGTGTCCTGGAGGCTGCTGGAGACCGCTGGAGACCGAAATCCCGATACTATGAACAGCATTTCACCCATGCACGGATATGGGGAAATAGGGCGGGTATGAAAAGTTATAGACATTAGACAAGGCGGTTATAAGGAAATCATTAGAAGATAGAAACAAGAAAGGTCACATCACCCACCCATTCCTCATTATCATCCATTGGGAGGTCATATCGTCCAGATCACACTCGGGTATGCATTTATGTATATCTGTATGTATTTCCCGGTCTCCTACAACCTGCATACTCCTGCATTTGCTGACCTGCCTGTGTCCAGAATCTCCTCGACCAAACGTACGCAAGTCCTCGCACAGCCAACCGCAAGAGTCCATCCCGACCCACCGTGGCCATAGTTATGAACGATCCGGCGTGTATTCGCTCGACTATCAGCGGAGACCCTGACATTCAGGTATGAGAAGGGGCGCAAGCCTTGTGCAAGAGACTGTGCCTCATGGTCTGCATCCTTGAGGACGGGCAGGAACTCAGTCGCCCGTTCCCACATCGCCTTGACTTCAGGAGAGTCAAGGGAGAGATTCAGCTGCCAGTTGTTGCGCTGAGTGATTGAGCCAATGACAAGCATATCATCGTTACGAGGAACAATGAAGACTGTCTTGCTCACCGAGCCATCCTGATTCATTTGAGCCGGAAGAAGGAACGCATGGTCCGCTGGGTATCCCTCCGGCCTCCTGATCTTTCTGACTGCTCCCCGGACGGGGAATATCTGAGTATCGGTTGCAAGCTCATGAGCTCCTATGCCGCTTGCATTGACGATGATATCGGCACGATATTCCCTCAGCAGCTCTTGCTCATGAAGACGGAGATCACCAATGATTTGTCTAGTCTCTAGAACTGCCCCTTTGCTTTGAACAAGTCTCATCAGAAACGCCATAGCAACATCGGTATCAACCATGGGAGCTGCATGCTGATATGCGCAAGCAACACTAAACTGTTTCTTCGGGTCCACTAAACCTGCCAACACCTGTGAGTTGACTTTCCTTCCTCCATTGGCATCAGCCATGCAGTGATAATTGACTTTCAATTGGCCCCTGAAAGGCGAATCCACGCTCTCATCCAGTGTCTTTATCTCAAAATACTTTTCATAAAGCTTGTCATCACGGATATTGACACGGGACTCGTCCTCGATTGGCTGTTGAAAGAACTGAAACAAGGTCTTCATCTTCGCCCCAAACTTCCCAGCTCCAGAAATCCGTTCCGGACCATCACCCATAAGCTCATCCCGGTCCGCCATCATCTGATAGAACTCAAAACTCTGCATAGCCCACTCCCGATACTGCTCCAGAGTCGAGTACCCAAACAACGGGGTCTCAATCTCAGTGATCCCACACCCACCAGGAGGGTACTCCCACAGAGTCCCAGCAATCTGCGACGTCAACGGCTTCGCAGAACTGGCCCATTCCTTAGACACAATGGTGACGCGGTAGCCCTTGTCAAGGAGGATCCAAGCCGTCATCAGGCCGCTAACGCCACCCCCAATGACAAGAACATGCTTGGAGTGGTTTTGCACTTTCGTAGGGCTTTCTGGTGTCTTGGAGGTTGTGGAGAGCGTTAGCTCTTCCGGATAGCCTGGGGTAGCCTTGAGGGTGATTCTTGTAGCCATTGGAGAAAGAAATGCTTTATATGAGGCCCAGATTAGAGAGAAACGCCCTTGATTTCTGTACCTTATACCAAGTGTACAGATAGGAGACATGGCCCGATCTTTTTAAGAGCAATTCTTGTGCTCGCAAACAGGTATTCCTGTCAAATCACACCATGTCAAACCATTGTTATGCATAAATATGGTTTTATAGATTCCTTGGAAAGATATTGCTGTTTCAAGAATAGAATCTTACTCCTTCCATGCATTTCAACAGCTCCACCGCCACAAAAGTGTACGCAATGCAATCAGCATATTATATACCGTTTTGGAAGGCCAATTTGCTTTTAAGTAGCTCTCTAGCCTGGCTTTGGATTCTCAGCACACCCTGGGCATTCTACGCTGTCTAGGTGTACTTGTGGGGCATGGTATGTATAACACAGCGTGATATAAGCCTTCACGTTACGCCGTACAGGACGATCATCAGGCTATTGGCAAATCACAATTGGCCTGCGCAATCCCATATACTATATTCCGTCTCCTGCAGAAGCCAGGGTTCTGAGGCATGTACAACCCGGCCTGGACTCTAACCCTATCCGACTTCACCCGTGGGTCAGGTTACTGTTTGCTCAGCTGTCCCGGTGGATGGCATGTTTGCTGGCATGGTTGGCGATCTCGGGGAGGGGCGTGTACTTGTTTGATTTGTTAGGGCTGGGGATCCTTACGTTTAATTTTACGTCTATTATACGTATCATGGACTGTTCCCTGGGTCTGTTCGGGAATTGATATACCACACAGCCTTGAAAGGGGAATATCAAGGATTCGAGAAACGAAAACTGCATTGGGTACTGCTAAATAGAACTTCTATGGTAGTCTCTACCATCAATGTTTGACTTTTTCCCCAGAAGAAAAACATCAAACAAGCATACTGTACATAATCGACATTTGGCGGTCCTGTCCCGTGTCTACCGGCCAGGGGAAATAAACTAGAAACGCGAAAGGATAATCCTGACTCCAACGCATCGAGTCAGGGTGAGCTTCTTGAGATGAAATTATGGTTTGTCATATATTTATTGCTGCTGAGGCTGATCCAAGGCACCGTCCTTTCTCATCATCGTCTCCGGATCCCACACAGGGCTCTTCAGGTTTGTCAGGCCGGCGCTGTTCTCACAGGTGTCTCTTCCACTCATTGGGCCAGGGGCAGGAACCTGGACGGTCTTCCCGGCATCGGCGGCGGTCGCGGACTCCTTGAGTGCAGTGAGGAGAGTCTTGATGGACTCGGGAGTAAGGTCCTCGTAGTAGTCGTCGTTAATCTGGACCATAGGGGCGTTGACACAGGCGCCCAGGCACTCGACCTCGAGCAAGGTGAAGAGTCCATCCTCGGTGGTGTGTCCAGAGGTGATGCCGAGGTGTTCCGTAATAGCTTCAAGGATCTTGGTGCTGCCGCAGCCTCCGAGCTGGCATGGTGTCTGGTCCCGAAAACGTCAGCAGATGTACACTTATTAACCCACACCCGTAAAAGACAATAGTTCTCATACCGTTGTGCAAAGCTGAACAAAGTATTTGCCAACAGGCTCACGGTTGTACATGGTATAGAAAGTAGCGACTTCGTAAACACGCATGGGGGGCATCTCCAGGAGGCGGGCGACCTCGTTCATGACGCTAATGCTGGTGAAGCCGTGCTGGCGCTGACCCAGATCCAGGAGAGGCATGACGGCGGCCTTCTTGTACTGGGGAGGGTAGCGCTTGAGGATCTCATCGATCAGTCGTTGGTTCTGCTCGTTGAACGTGAACGGGATGGTCGGGTTGTTGTTAGGCTTGTTGCGGTGCTGGGAACCTATCGGTCAGCAAAGATTCGTTCTCCAAAATGCCTCCCCTCATCTTTACGCCTATTAAGGAAAGCTAAGGCATCCGAGGAGGCTGCGACCGCCAATGTTTTTCCATGTGCTATCGCAAAGATAACGTGAACGTACCACGGACAGGGCGTCGCTGCAACGTTGCGGACCAGCCGAGAACGGTCTGCATTGAGTCTTGGGGGCGCGCTGGAAGAACTGACGACCGACCCGAGGGACGGCGGGAAAGAATTTGGAAGCCATTGCTGGCGGGAGAGAGGGGATATGAGTGGACGGGGGAGGAGGAGAGCGACACTGATGGATTGATTATTGAAGGTGGACGATCGATTTGGAGTCGAAGAGACGTTTTGCGGGAGCTGCGGTTGGCCAATCAGCGACGACAGATTACTCCCGCCTTGTGTGCCAATCATTCATTACTAACCCTCAATTGAGAGAGGGTTCATATTGGATATCAACGACAACTACTACGTGAAACTGATTTCAATCTTGATCTGAATTACCACCAAGAAATCCATTGGTACCAATGCGTTGCTAACTTAGTCTGTCTTCATTGAGACCCCCAATCAATCAACTGTAAACGCCCATCATGCATATAACATCGTCATCGTTATTGACCATCAAATTCAACGTCCCTCGGTCCTAGGTACTAATCCTATAGTGACGACGGCCCTTTCACACATCCTCAAGTTTATAGACCTCATAAGCGACCTCCTCATACGGATGCGCCTTGATCAGCACATCCACCGCCTGCAACATGATGGTCCGACCGAAACACATCACTTCGACCTTCATCTCCTCCACCGTCTCTAGTGCTCCTGCAGCTCCGATCGCAGGATTAGCCTCATCAGACGGCAGGAATTGACCTTGACCCGGCATCTGGAAGCAGCACTTGGTGTATTTGCCGCCCGGGAAGGTCCCTGCCCCGGTCTCAAAGATGGCCTCTTTACATGCATCGAGATGGGAATGTGGGACGAAGAAAACGAGTTTGTAGCGGCCCGAGACTGAGGCAGCGTCTGAGGACATAATTCTTCGTTGATAAGTGTAGTTGGTGGTTTTTGCAGCGGTTGTAGAGCGCGGGGGGGAATGGAGAACAGTAGTGGATGGTAGCTGACGGAGCCCGCGGATGGAGTTGTGTAGGGGTCGCAAGACGGCTCTGCAACCTATCGAGATGAGAGAGGAGGGGATGGTTGGGCGCATTTGCCTATTATCCGGTCAATATTGCTCGTGAATTAAGAAGTACCCTCTCATTGCTGGGTGTTCCTACCTTTATTCGTTACTCGCTCTTGGCAACTGGTGTTGTATGTTAGTAATCTTTGCGTACTGCGTAGACTTCAAAGGAAGCTTAGGAGCCCACGATATCTCCTATTTAGTCTTCTAGTCCTATACTTCTTTCAAAAGCTGTATTTCAATCTTGCTTTTTGTTCACTAATTACATGGGTCCCTTTTTCATTTAGGATATTCTGTCTATTCTAAAATATCGTATATATAACATCGAACCTTGGTATTGTAATCCTACACCGAGATATATAAGATAAGCTGGTATAGTCACTTAACAATATTTGTCTCCCATCTACACCTAATGCTATAGGATAACCGAAAGGAGAATCGCCACAAGGTAAAACAGCTTCAAATGATCTACAAAGTCCAAATACCTCACAATATACTAAATACAGTATTCGACCCAACCCCCGCAGCATGCCCAAACCATATGCATGCAATCGCCAATCCCACCAACCCTAATCCTAGGCCTAAAGACAACGGTGGGAAGCTAGCGTCCATTTGATTCCTGGTTCTCACTTCAACAGAAGGTATCTCCTGTGATTAGCATGGTGAGAAACAGCCCCGCAGAACCTCTTCTGAGGATAGGTGTGAATAGCACGCGCCGGGCCCGAGTCCTTGGGCTTGTTGTTGAAGTGATACTGACGTCTGTCCAGGAAGACGGGGTGTATATTTGCAATGGAGATGTTCATATCTTGAGTTAATTATTGTACACCGGGAAGGAAAGCCACACGCTCAAACAACAGCAACATGTCTCTGCACATGATCGCCAATACGCTTCAGCAGCTCAGCCTTCCTCTCCTCCCCAACCCAGCTCCCTTTAATACTATTCTCCGCAATCACCCTCCACTCATCCACCGTAAGCTGGAACGCCTCCTGCACAGCACAATAATTATCCAGGATATACCCTCCGAAGTACGCCGGATCGTCACTATTAATAGAGAACATAACACCTGCATCCAAGAACTTGCGAATAGGGACCTGCGCAATAGACTCGACACAACGCAACTGCAGATTCGAAATCGGGCAAACCGTTAGCATAACCTGATCCCTCGCCACCTTTTCCAGAAGCACAGGATCCTCTACAAGCCGAATACCATGGTCGATACGCTGCGCGCCCAGCTCCAACGCAGTACTGATATACGACGGATCACCCTCCTCACCGGCATGAGCTGTGAGCCTGATCCCCTTCGCCGAGGCCGACGTGTACAGCTCCCGGAACATGTCCTTGGGGGGCCCGACTTCTGTCGACGACCAGCCAAGTCCATGGACGACCTCGTTTTCGAAGTGTTGCTGATCCAGGGCTTCCTGGTACACCCGTGCGGCGTTATCGACGGGGAGATGGCGCACGAAGCACAGGATGAGACGGGTCGTTAGCCCTAATTCCCTCTCGGCGCGTTGGCAGCCAGCCACGAAGCCTGAGACGATGGTCTCGTAGGGGATGCCGCGGTCCCGGTGGACTTGCGGGTCGAAGAAGACTTCTGCGTGGTGGACGCCGTCGGCGTGAGCTTTTTGGAAGTAGGCCCAGGCGAGGTCTGCAAAGTCGGACTCATGGTGCAGCACTGACATGCCGATGAAGTAGAAGCGGAGGAAGTCGTCGAGGGATGTGAAATGGCCGTAGCGGTGGCTGAGAGTCTCGATGGACTCGTAGGCTGGTTCATCGGGGAGTGAGACATTGTTTCTCTGGGCTAGTTCGAAGATTAGGTCAGGAGCTAGACAGCCTTCAAGATGGACGTGGTGTTCGCATTTGGGGAGACCGTGCAGGAAGTCGTGAAGATCGGATTTGCACATTCTTTAGTCTTGAGACTGTACGGGTTGATCGCGGAAGATGATATGACAATAATAATCTAAAATATAAGGGGATTTTGTACAGAACGAGGGTCCTATACAAGAGAGTACATTTATAAAGAGGAAGAATATAGTGGCATGTGACCTTCGATATGCCGATCTAAAGTTTGACTCAACTACTAATTAAACGGACCATGCATACAAATGGATGAAGAATCTTAAAATTTACCTCCCGCTGGATTCAAGTTTCAAATAATACATTAGTTAAGTGGGTACATTCAACTAATCAAATATCAATGCTGGGTCGTGGGGTGATAGTATTGGATCTCCAAAAAGGGCAAATTTTTGGAATACATAGTCGGTACGAGATGATTTCAAATCTGTAAAATTTAATCAAGATACCTTTTGAGACCCACATGACTTCCACCAAATCTTCAGTCCAGATAAGACGCACTCAGATAAGCCGACTCAAGCCCTAGTATAATCGCATGAGGGGTCGGAGACTTCCGATTTCTGAGCGCCGGAGAGCGGAGACACAAGATCTTCGTGAGGATCATTTCAATTCGTAGTTGAATTATAAACACAATAGTAAAGCTCTATCTATAACCAGGTACCAGAAAGAAGGGAAAAAATTGTAACCAGAGCCTCGTCTACCCTTTTAGCATAAAGTCTATACATCTAGACTCGCAATTCTGCCCCCGCAGCTTTACGGAGACGGTTCATGACGGCAGCTGCGCGGTCGCCTTGTTGATCCGAGATGCCCTCGACATAGATGACATCCACTTCCATTTCATCCATGGCCCGCAGTGCTGCAAAGAGCCCGCGCGCAATGGACTCGACATCGGGTCCGAGATGACAATCAAAGGCCTCTTTGAATGCAGGGCTACGACCAGAGTTGCCCTTGATGGGAACAGAGAATCCCGCCAGGCCGTCAATCAATGACGGAAGGGGTTTGAGGGTTTTCTCGATCTCTTCATCAGACAATAATCCGAGACCCCGCTTCCAGTGCTTCGTTCGTACAATACCGATCATATGTGCCCCAATCGCTGTATCTTCTAAGTCCTTGCGGATATGCTTGGTGACAGACTGCTCCTTGGAGCCAGCCTCAAAAAGTACCACACGTGCTTTGGGAGAATAGTGTCGGTATTTCATACCCGGTGCCCGAGGGATCTCTTTGACGTCGAGGGTACCATCATGGTATCCAAGTTGTACATTTTCCCATCCCGCACATGCCCGGATCTCTTCAATGCCAATACCGCCTGGCCGCAGGATTGCTGGTGGGTCACACAGGCCATCAACCACAGTACTTTCAACACCGACACCGCATAAGCCACCATCAAGGATTAGCTCGATACGGCCTTGAAGGTCATGATATACATGCTCCGCCGCTGTTGGGGAAGGTTTGGTCGATGCGTTCGCCGAGGGTGCCGCCAGCGGCCGGTCTGCGGCATGGATCAACAGCCGTGCAAGCGGCGAAGAAGGCATGCGCGCCCCAAACGTCGTCAGTTTAGAAGTAACTTCCTTCGCCAGAAGCGATCCAGATGGGTTCGGTAGAAGAATCGTAAGAGGACCTGGCCAGAAGCGGGCAATCAAAGATTGATAGACAGAAGGAATTGAGTTTCGTGGGCTATCGGATGCGCTCGTAGAACCCGATTCCTGCGGGTTGAGTAGCCGCTCCAACATTTCGAGGGAGTCAATATGCACAATTAATGGATTATCCGACGGTCTCTGCTTGGCCTTGTAGATCCCTTGCACCGCATCGCTTCGTGTCGCATCGGCGCCCAACCCGTACACTGTCTCTGTAGGAAACGCAACAGGGATATTGCTCGTTCGGAGAAGTTGAGCAGCCTCGTCAATCGCGGCAGCTTCTGGTGTTTTATTGCTGCGCTCACTATCCCACCATTCTGAAAGGGACTTAGCCCCAGGGCCTTCTATATTCAATCGACGGACCGACAAGATCCGAGTTTTCTCCTTTGACGACATGGTGGTGGTAGTGCCCAAAAACCTCGTAAAGCTGCGCGGACAGCCGCCAGCGACAAGGCGAGAGACGAAGGACACCAGCTTCGCTGATATAGTAGGCGAAACTTCAGAGCTACGGACGAGTGTCGCGGGGTGACTCAAAACGCGAATAGATTGAGTGGTGGGGGAAAGCGTTTTCGGCCCTACAAAGCCTTATTTGTTAGGTAAATTCCAAGTGGAGTCCGTCCAGACCAGACGCCCCTCCTTGAGGGACTTACCAACCTAGAAAGAGATTTTGCGAAATGTCTGATAGTCGCCAATTGCGGTCTTTGCACCAGCCGAAAATTTGATCGTTCCGATGACGTCGTTTTACATGTATGACTAAGCTGTTTGACTGTGTCATTATGCGGTGCATAACGATTCAACTCTGATATAGCATAGTCCTAAAACACTTACTCTCGAAATGAAGATGGAAGTTTGTACGAAAGAGTGCCCTCGGGGAGGTTCAGAGTGAAAAGACTTTGTTCGTGGATCTTCATTGGGACCCGAACGTTGATTCAGGATGGTGGGCACTGCGACCATCCAAAGTGTATAGATAGTATACGCAGTTGAAGACTAGTAATAATACAACATGCCAAAGGCTATGTACAAGATCGTAGTCTAAATTTATTTCTTCTTTCCACCCTTTCCGCCTTTGTTACCGCTGCCACCACCTTTTCCTTTACCTTTACCATCGCCTCCGCTGGCTCCGAGCATAATTCGCACTTTCCCAACAGGAACGCTGTTGATGATCTCAGTCTCTTTCCATGCCTTGATCACATCACCTTCCCGGGCCCGGAGTTTCTCTGCGTCAGCGAGACTGATGCCAGCTTCCTCAGCATATTCCTTCTTAACCTTGCCGGTGGTGGTCTCAGCCACCCATCGTCCAAGTATCTCCTTGACAGCCTTACCCTTCTTCACCGTACCAGGCTGCAGTTTGACCTTGTATCTATATCGACTCAGTGCTGCCCAGGGAGCACAGACTGGAATGGCTGCAAGGATCTCGTCCTCCGGACGAGGCGTCCCAATCAATGCTGGGATCCACTCAAGGTCTGCTGCCTCCGCAGCGGCCGTCTCTTCGTCGTAATCATCACCACCTTCCTCAAACAGGGCCTGTCGTCTGCGTTCGGCTTCTGCAGCACGCTCATGTTGTGCCTGACGACGCTTCCTCTGTGCCTCGGCTTCTTTCTCGCGATTTTCCTTAGCTTCGGCGGCGGCAGCAGCCTTACCAGCTTTGCCCTTGTTGGCCCCGAGCAAGCGGAGCGCTAGTTCACGATCTTCATCATCCTGATCAGCGTACTTAGCGGCTGCTTTCTTCGCTTTCCCTTTCTTGCCTCGGGTAGGTGCCGGTGCATGTTTGGCGTTCGTTGCTTTGGCAGTTGAGTTCTTGCCGGGTGCTTGTTGGCCAGCCTCGGACGAATCAGGAGATTTCCCCTTCCGAGGCGATTGCCTGGCCGTTGCAGAGAGCTGGCGTTCGCTTTCATCTTCTACCGGACCGCTTCCATCTTCCGTTGGCGCATCTGCCTCTGCTTCTTCCTCATCCAACGCATCCGCCTGCTCTTCTGACTTATCGGCAACATCTTCAGCATCTGATCCGGTATCCTTTTCTCCCTCCTGCGCGACCTCGGTATGAGGAGACTCCGATGGTCCACGCTGTAATGGGTTTCGAGTGGGAAGTGAATCAACATTGTCTTGTTCATTCTCTGAGTCCGAACTCTGCTCTTCGGCTTGTTCTTTAGGCTCCTCAGAAGGTTTATGAATTTCCCCTGTCTCCTGTTGTTGCTCAGAGTGTTGTGTGCTTCCCCCAGCTTGCTCGTTACCACCCACGGTGGTTGACTCGGCCGCCTCAGGCTCGTCAACAAAATGAGTTGTGTGGTTTTTCAGGCTATCTTTGCTAATTTGGAATGTCACTCCAAAACCTAGAACGAGTTGCGACGGGGCAAGGAAATTCTTCTCTCCCTTGACCAAGAAATCTCCCATAGGAAGAAGCCCTCCCGCTTCAGCAGTTTTTGTTATTTGACTGGCCTGGGCCCACCATGCAGACATGACAGCTTTCGAATCCCAAGCACTTGATGTAGCAACGCATAGATTGCCAGCCTGTGAAAGGGTGCTTGGTGGTATAGGCGCGTTAGGGTTCTTCGATCTGTTCTTGACAATCATGGGTCTAGCTCCTTCCAAATCCGCATGCACAAAGATATCCCCTTTCTTAAGATAACGGCGGTAAAGCATCTCGCTCTGCATAGCGTCTCGACCGCTGCGATGGTTAGCAGATATCCATATGAAGGGGATAGTGACAAAACTTACCCCAGGACGAGGTATCCCTCCGAAGAGATGAAGAAAAGAAACTTCTCAAACCAGAAGGGTTGTCGGGTTTGCCGGAGAGTTTGTTTCTCTTTTTTCAAGCCCCGTTTGAGGTCTTCCGTTACCTTCTTTTCGTGGCTTTTGAGTGCTTTGGTAGATGACTGGGCCGTCCTTTGTTCCTTAACCGCGGCCAGTTTCTTCTGCTCATAGTACTGCTTCGCATTCGCCCATGGAGAGACACCGAGGTCGATGTCAATAATCAATACCGATGGGGGTTGTTGGCTTTCGCCATTATCCTGCTCGTCGTCGGATTCTTCAGACTCGTCGCTCGAAAATAGCTCGTCTTCCTCATCTTGCTCGTCACCAGCTTCTCCAAGAAGCAGTGTGATCGTGTTTTCATGGAGTTTCAAGGGAAGCTTGATAATTCTCGCCACAGGGTTTCCTCGGCTCTGCTCCATTTCGATAAGACGTGCGATTTCTACCCAGTCCATGCCCTGAGCGATCAGGCCATTGACCGCATCCATGGCTTCTTGGACTCGGTAGACATTATCCTCGATCGCGCCTGCTTTGCGAATATGTAGCTCTTGTTGTTCTTTGAGGGCACCGATCTTTTTCTCGTGCTCTTGTCTCACTGCATCAAGCTTTCTCTTCGCTGCCTCCTCGCGCTCTGTAAGTCGTGACTCCAGCTTCTGGGTCTCGATTGATGAGAAATATTCGTCAACCGTGGCATTCAACGAGGGAAATTCCAAGATGCTAATGCCCGGTTTCCCTTCAAACTGTCGAGGCTTGAATGGGTGGAAATCCTCATAGAGAAGGTTGGCTGTCTCCGAAGGCTGCTCATTCTCACCAGTCGACTGAGAAACGCTGCGATTATCTTCTTTCGCAACAATGTAACCAGGATGACTCTCTTGCGTTGAAAGTCTCGTGTTCTCATTCTGGGCCTCTTGCAAAACACCGTTGACTTCCTGAAGGAGGCTTTCGTCCTGTAGTACCTTATCCAAGGGTGTTGTTGGATCAACCTCCTTCGTCGCAAAAGCATGGTCCAGCAAAAGGGGAGGGTATTCGGGGAAGCCTTGAGAGAGAGCCTTCCTTAACACATCCGCATTTTTCTTCTTTGACTTTTTCGGTGCTCCGTCCTGATTTGCAAATAGCGCTTTCGCCTTCTCCAGTGTCTCCTTGATCCTCTCTAACGTAATTTCCGGGATCCCGTGGTAGTTCTGTTTGTTCGTTACTGTGTATTGAATTCCAACCCTCGCCTCCTCTCCCTCGCTAATAGAGACTTGACGGAATAGAGCCAGAATATTATGTTCGCGGTCGGTGATTATGATGTTTCCCCCCGCAAAGAATTCCAAGAACATGTGGTACATGCCATCGCTGAACGAGATGTCAATAACGCGATCGGTGCCGATCTGCTTAACCGAAGTGATGCGTCGTGATTTAAGGAATTTGCGCATGCGAGTCACGAAGGGGGATGGCATGGAAGCCGTCGCCCGCGAGTATTGGGTGACATGGCATCGGAAGCCTGAGTCGACGATGAGTTGCTTGCGATGATCTGGTTTTGCGAGTTTGAATAAGAAGATCCTCTTTGGACAGCGACCCGCGTTAGTTGGGTATTGATTCTTGCTGGGAAATCAAGGGCCTACCGATGAGAGATCATATATGTTCGACACTCGCAAATTGACGATCTCCGAGGCAAGCTCCTGGGAGATGACCTGAGAGGTTCGTGTGAGTCCAACCGAGTTCCGTTCCAAGTTACAAGCATCTGTCAAAGCATACCTTAACGTCCAATGACGAGAATCGCTGCTTCATCTTTTTTTTTTTAGTCGTAGCTTGGGACTCCAGAGAAATGAGCCAGTACGGCGAAAAATGGCTGGTGGGCAAGATGTTTGCAAAGACCAAAAAGGTACCAGCGTAGGCAAAGAGCGTGACGTATGCGGGGCAGTTTTTCACTGTTTATCGATCGTTTTTCCATGCCATTCGATAGTGTTTGTAACCGCATAAGGCCAGCCCACAAAATTGTGGAGAATATCATGATCGAATTCGGGTATTTTCTACATTGGCTAGAATGCTGTTTGTCTGATCTTCTGTTGCTTTGTTTCTTTTGCGATATCTCGAGACTGCGTGAGGCAAGGAAGTGTCCTCCCCTGCCGCTAAGTGACAAGTGTAAACCCGCATCTGATCATGAAGGAGTATCTCTATAGAATATTCAGGCGTCCCCGGAAGAAAAAGAACGAGGTAATCAAATGAATCAATCAACATCGTGAAATAAATAAGCAACACGCACAGTACCACGCCGGGACCAGCCACATAGTATTAAACGAAGAAAGTTAAAATAAGACATCAAATGCATAACCATGCGAGAAATCAACCCAATTTAAACACGCCCAAGTGGTATGTAAGCCCCTCTACATCTGCCGCAAGCCTTCGGCCAAGCGCCGCTTTCCAAGCTCCCAGGCATTAAGCAGGCCTTGTTCGGACAGATCGATGCTCTTCAGGTTTGGCGCATCGGCCTGGGGGGCACGGCTCACACGCGAGGAGATAAGAACAGGGTCCGTCTCGAGAATGATACCATCATCAATGATCTCATCGATAGCCAACGCAACAAGGTCATAGTTCTCGACAATCGTACGCTTGTCAGTAGCACCCCTATCCCGAAAAGGCAAACGTTAGTTTCCACCAACCTACTCCATGCCGTATCCCGCAACACCGAGACCAAGAAACAGGGGAAGACAACATACTTGAACAAGATACCCAAAGCATCCCTCAACGACAGCACGACATTATAAAGCAGGACTTCGTTCTCCTCAGCGCCTCCAACAACATAGAGCATGACATCGCTCTCCATCTTGAAGACAACGATCCGGTTGTCGTATAGGATCACATCGCTGGTCTGCTTGTTTGTCTTCTCAAGGAGGCCCTGTTCGAAGGCCTTCTGTTCTTTGAGCGTGGGATAGGGGTTTGCGCCAGGGTAATCGGTGGAATTGGGGGCAGCACCGGCCGGGGGGTGAGGCGGAGAATAGTATTTGGCGAAGATGCGAGAGCCATCGTCGGCCGACATTAGGAGGACGGCATTGACGGAGAAGAGAGACAGAGAGCCAGGCATTTTTAATTGGGGTATTCTTGCTTTTTTTGTTTCTGAATTGCGTGTTTGGTTTTCAGCCTTGGTGTGCTGCTGGTGTAGTTGGTATTATCTATTTACTGTCACGCTGGCCGGTGGCCGGAAGTCGTATTAATGTTGTTCCGGAGTATAGGATGGAGGACACCTGTTTTATTAACCATAAGTGTGTTAAACGGGTTTTTCTTAGTCAAGAGAAAAAGAAGGAGGAGGAAAGAAAAATGGAGTGAGGCATGCTCTAGAGTTGGAGGAACTTCTGAGAAGAATTCGTTTGTAGATCGTATTGAGACATTGTACCTATTTAATTGATATACACACATGTCCACAATTAGGACATAGACAGGACCATCAGAGACAAAGTAGTTTCACAGAAAATTATCACTCTATAAACAGAGTATCTCAATCATATGTTCATCAAGGAGAGGGAGACATAAGCAAGGCCGGAATATCGTCATAATCAATCCTCAGCAAATATCCAACAGTAGAAGGTTTCAACGAGCGTCCAAGCATAAACATGGGTAACATGACAAAATCCCCGATGGCGTGGCCATGAAATGTCAAAGAAACATAGATAGTAAGTTATCCAACAACAGATTCATCGCCATCATAAAGTCCATAAGGTAAAACAGGGATTGAAACATGACGACATTCTGGGTGTTCTAAACGCACAAGACCATAAAAAGGAGTAGACAGGGGGCCTTAGAAGGACAAACGCCAAAGAAATAAATAAAAGGGGAAGAGGAAAAATAAGAGGTAGACAGAAGAGCAATTGTCAAGAACTAATGGTTACAGCCAAAGACATAATGCAGGCTTATGCGGAATCACCTGTGTTGGGCCGGTTGAACCAAGGGATCCAACTACCACGGTTCGCCTTTTTCCGAGCTTCTTCGTCGTCTGCTGCTTTGGTTTCACTGACAAGGCGCAAGGGACGTAGCTTGCTCTGGGTCATCACCGCTCCGGTATAGTTTGTCATTCCGTTGCTTGAACGAGGAGAGCTCGAGGTTGCACCTGTAGAAGCCGTATCACCAGGTGGCTCGCTCGTAATACTGTTGGAGCTGCTCATTTGGCTGCGATCGTGTTGACTGGATAGCGATGGGGCGCGATTACTGCCGCTCATGCCAGACATATAGCTCGCTCCAGATAAGACGCTTGTGCGGGATCCAGGTCCCATGAGCGTAGGGCTCATTGGGCCCCCAGAGTTGCGTCCGCGATAAATCTGGCCTACCACGGCAGCGGCAGCTACATCGGTCTGCTCTGATCGCGTTCTGCGATGTCCTCTCGCCTGGACACGATTCATGGGAATGCTAGGCGCAGTTTCTGGGTTCTCATGAGGTGTCACCGAGACAGAGGCCGCGCTTGTTGGAGGCGGCATCATGCTGGAAGGACGTGACCGTTGAGGTCGTTGCGTCGGGCCCGCCACAACGGATCTAGCTCTCTGCAAGAAAGACTGGGCATCCTCCTTATCGGTGGGCGTTGGTGGAAGTTCCTTGTCAGTGCTTGCCCGCTTAGGGGGGTCATTCTCGTTCTTGTCCAAAATGGTCTCGAACCCGTCATGTTGCAAGAGACGGCTGATGATGCGCTCGATGTAGAGGGTGAGGGCTTTGTTCTGATCTTTCAGCGCCTTAACCTCTGTCTCGAGCTTGCGGGTGTTATCGTTATCCGCTCTTGCGTCTACAGACTCAAGTTCATCAGCCAGCGAACCCAAACCGCTGCCAGACTCCTTAGTCTCTTCAGCTTCGGGGTGGGCTTCTCGCATGAAGTCGCCCTTGGTGAAATCACCATTCAGCGTTTTCTCACTGAGGAGTAGCTGGTAGCTCTCGTTGTCCTCCATGAGACGAGCGTTGGCCATACGAGCCTCCAAAAGTTCCTTTTCTAATTCCCGTTGACGGCCGCCACCTTTATTTTCCATCTCCACGAGTTTAATTTGGGACTCGGCCAGTTCAAGGCGGAGGGACTCGATCAATTTATCCTTCTGCAAAAGCAGTGTCGAGTTGCTTCGGGACGGACTCCGCTCAATCTGAGACGAGGGCGCAAACTGTCCATCGACATCCGGGGAGGACCGATTACGGAAACTGGCTAAAAGCGAAAGTTAGAAACAAAGACCGGGCGAATATGGAGAACGAGGGGAGAACCATACAAGAACGAGAAACATTCTTATCTGCATCAGAGTTGATTCGCTCCTTCTGGGCCAGGGAATCCTTAAGACGCTGGATGGTAGCCTGCATCTCTTCTTCCCGGCTCGCCTGCTGCTCCTTCTCCTGGAGCATAGCGTTCCGTTCCAACTCATGCGCCTGTTCCAAGTCACGTATCTGCCGGACATGGTCACGGATCTCACCATTGAGGGCTTCTACCTTGCTGTCCCTCTCATGAGCCTGGTCCTCCAGTTTTCCTTGCTCACTGACGGCCTCATCGAGTCGCATCTGCAGGACACCCAACTGCTTCTGGTATTGCTCAGAGGCTGTCTCTGCTTTCTGCAGCTGTTCCCTTAACTCTTCGATGAGGGCAGCATTCTGAGCCCTTGCTTCTTCCTCAGAGGGATCGCGGTTCACTTTTGGAACACTCGAGGTGCTAAGGTTGGAGCGACCGGGTTTTCTGGCTGCAGCCCGCGCTGACACTGGGGCCGAGCCACGGAGAGATGGAGATCGAGATATACCATTCGTGGTCGTGCTGGGAGATCGGGTATGGCTTCGCGATGGAGTGCCATTCACCGTATGATTTTCCGCGGGCGAAGATTTGGTCGAACTGCCTGGGGTTCCAGGCTTCCGGGGTGTCGTAGACATTGTCACCGGCAATGACGATGCTCACAACGAGCAGTGAATTGTAAGAAGAGAAGACAACCCGGAAAGGGGCAATTCTAAAGAATTGAAGGCAGTGATGAAACGACCGGGAAATTAAGTGATAAATTTAAGGATCGGGGGAGGTATATAGTAGTAGCGGTCAAAACACAGTGGACACTATGCCGTAGTGGGGGAAGTCTAGTTTGTTAAGTAGTAAGTAGTAGTCGTAGAATTTATGGCTGGTTCAAAGACTAGCCCCCTTGGTCCAAAACAATGAAAAAACACAGACGGGAAGGAAAGAAATTTATAAGCAAGAGGAAGGTATAAATATCTATCAGGGAAAGACCAAAAAAGGTGTATCACGTTAGGGATAAATTCCAGAGTCGAGGAAATTCTGGGGATGGGAAAATGGTGGATGGGCTTATTATTACAGACATTAGGGGGGGTTGATGATCCCGTATGAAAACGGGCACCAAGGCAGTATTAAAGTGGGTAAGTAATGTTCCATACAGCCATAATACATCCGTCTCTGCTGGTTGCTCAGGGAATTTAGTTCAACTTTTAATTAATAGCGCAACGGGGACAACAACAATGTGCTCGGTACTTTCCTATTCTCCTTCTGTTAGAGGTTAACTTGCTTGTAAGGATGCGTGAACATGAACTACTCCGATGCATGGTCTTGACTGCCCGAGAGACCACCAAGAGCCAACTATAATACTTCATTCTATTATTTGTTGTTACCACCACAATTACTGGGGTTACTGAAGTGGACAGCATATGCAGAAGGGACCCTTTCACCGGGGAGACAACTTAACCTAACATATGGCGGGATAAAGATAGTACAGTACGGAGTAGTCATACCGTAAATCAACATACTCCGGAGTAGTAGTTCCTTGCTGCGCACAGGGTCTCGCCATCTGTCCATCTTGGAGGAGGAACAAGAATAGAATTTCGTTCACCTGCCACCCAATAAGGATGTTAATGGAGGGTATCTGCGCCACGTTTGAACAAAATGATAATCGACGTCCAACTGTTCTATCCGACCCTCCATTGGGAGAATTGACCTCAAGCTACGAAGAAATAGGGTTCGTCTGAAGGCAGTGAATGCTGACAGCACATTAGCCACGTCCGATCCGCCCATGGAAGTAGGGCTGTATTTTTCGTAAGATACGGACTCGATCGCTGGGAGCTGATACAGACCTGATACAGGGTGGAAGTGAGGATCGCCGAAAGCACCAAAGAAAAAAAAAGGCGGAATGACTCAGCAACGACGGAGCGGATCAGAAATAGTCCGAGCGAATATAACGCTCGACCGCCAAACCCCACAAAGGAAAGAAAAAAACCCAACTTCACGATAAGGCCGGAGCGCACCTTTTCAGACTACTCTCCAAGCATACCGAACTACTCAGTTCAACAGCGTAACGATGGCCCCCAAGAGCAAGAAGAACGCCGACTCCATCAACAGCCGTCTGGCTTTGGTGATGAAGTCTGGAAAGGGTATGTCAATCTTTAATTTTTATCGTTTATGTGGATTTGGACTCGGTTGCTAACTTCTGGTGCAGTCACCCTTGGCTACAAGTCGACCATCAAGACCCTCCGCGTAAGCTTTTCTCGCACACAATTGGATGCTTTCGACACATGAGACGGTGATCTAACTATGAAATCCAGTCCGGCAAGGCCAAGCTGGTCATCATCGCTGCCAACACTCCTCCTCTCCGCAAGAGTGAGCTCGAGTACTACGCTATGCTCGCCAAGGCCCCTGTTCACCACTTCTCTGGTAACAACGTAAGTATCCCTTTGTCGCATATGTCTCTTTGCTCCAACATTGCCGGCCCTCTCTCAGGAAGGCAGGTCGTGTTGGAGCCGCCCTGAGAAGCCGCAATCTTTGGCTGTGGAGGGTACTAGATAACTGACGTTTGCGCGTAACTACAGATCGAGCTGGGCACTGCTTGCGGTAAGCTCTTCCGCACCAGCACCATGACTGTCCTCGATGCCGGTGACTCCGACATCCTGTCCAGCCAGTAAGTGTAAAGCACGGACAATGTCTTCATGTTATGTCTGGACGATGTACAAGCCTTGGAAACGATGAGGCACGTGATAGATAATGACAAGAACCTTTACACTTATTAACTGTTTTGACTTGGTACATCTTCGTATATTGGTATATGTAGGATGAACTTGGTAGAAAGTAGTGGAATGTCAGGTGTATGGCGACCAGAATTAGCAATCAATATTTGCTCGCCCTTGAGTATACTTCAACCTTGGGTGTTGATTTGTCATCTCTATCTGTATCTCTGTAGTATCTCTATACATCGTTCAACCTGTAAGATGGAAATGTCGCCGAAGTCTGACAAATGCGGTCTGGTCGCGGGCGCCGCTGATTGGTGGAGACGGTAGGGTTTAGGGTTTCGCCACTCGTTAGTGGACGCTGCTTGGAAATCAACGTCGGAAGTGCCTGCGCCCAAAAGCCTCCCCTTCCCTTTCGCCCTTCGACACCACCCTTTTCGACAACCTCACCGTTCGCAGGAAGTGCAGCAAGGTCACCTCCAACTCTCAAAATGGCCCGCCGTCCCGCTCGTTGCTACCGCTACTGCAAGAACAAGGTGCGTTGACGGTTTGATGGATTTTTCCCATATTTTCGTGTTCTGTGGATTTTTGGCTCGGAAATTCTCGCTTGTGGGGGGGGAAAAGCAAAGACGTCAACCACGTCGAAGGATAGAAGGGAAATGAGATATTGTCATCGCGATATTGCTTCGGATGGATGGACACTGTTTTACATCATCGGTCTATCAAAGATCTTTCACTAACATGATGGTCGCTTCATAGCCCTACCCCAAGTCCCGGTTCAACCGTGGTGTTCCCGACCCCAAGATCCGTATCTTCGATCTGGGACGTAAGAAGGCCAACGTCGATGACTTCCCTCTCTGTGTGCACATGGTCTCCAACGAATATGAGCAGCTTTCCTCTGAGGCTCTCGAAGCCGCCCGTATCTGTGCCAACAAGTATGTCGCTCCTCCTCGAACCCAAGACCAGACGAAAAGACCCGTCGCGAGACATAAAGGAAGAAACTAACAGGTCCCCTTCTCCAGGTACCTCGTGAAGATCACCGGTAAGGAAGGTTTCCACATGCGTATCCGTGTGCACCCCTTCCACGTCATCCGTATCAACAAGATGTTGTCGTGCGCTGGTGCCGATCGTCTTCAGACCGGTATGCGTGGTGCCTTCGGTAAGCCCCAGGGTACCGTTGCCCGTGTGAACATCGGCCAGATCATCCTGTCCGTCCGCACCCGTGACTCCAACCGTGCCGCCGCCATCGAGCTCTCCGCCGTTCCATGTACAAGTTCCCTGGTCGCCAAAAGATCGTCGTCTCCAAGAACTGGGGTTTCACCCCCGTCCGTCGCGAGGAGTACGTCAAGCTCCGCCAGGAGGGCAAGCTCAAGCAGGATGGTGCCTACGTTCAGTTCCTCCGTGGCCACGGTCTCGTTGAGAACAACATGAAGCGCTTCCCCGACGCCTACGAGTCCCAGGCTTAAATGGAATGAGCTTTAGCGTTAGGACCCATAAAAAGACATGAATTTTTATTATATTCCTCCGGTTACCAATACATGTTCTGTTATTTTGTGATGTCATTTTAAGTGTCCTCACGCACGGCGGAGTTGATTTAATCATGGATTCCTCGGGCTTCTTCCTCTCTGCGTACTCGGTTCTTGTAGCTTCTGGATCCAGTTATCTGACTGGCAATCGTAGTGTACATCTCTCGTATTGGCTAGATCCCAACCAAGCTTACAGAGCACCCCAGTATAGACGACACAAGGCCAGGATTCTAGACCCAAGCAATCATAGCCAATATCTAGATGTGACATCATCATTATCATTAGACCAAGTCAATCACAGCAGATCTAAAAATCTTCTCAGTGGTATGGACATCAATCTAAGTCCAGAATAAGAAAGAAATACATAAACACTCAATGAGCATGCATAAAAGGTTCTCGCGAGATATATATATTTACGGATACGTTACACATGTACATGCAATAGATACATGTACTAAGGCTTTTTGGCAAGCATAATATATATTCATCCCCAACTCCATGCTATATATATATATATATATATATATTTTCGCAGTGAACTCGTGTAATTGTATTGAGAGAATACGATGTTTATTGAAAGCACTCTGAGTATTCTTTTGAAGCAAGCATATGACAGTTGGATGCGATATGATGTGATAGATATGTATTGAGAGAATATCGACAGTCACCATCCGATGTATATATAACCCCAGACCAAGTCGCCCCTTTACATACTGTACACCGTTGACATGCACCTGTTCCGGTTGAAATATGTCTAAGCCCTTGCCGTCCCTCGTGATATGTGAGTAAAATGCATAGAAGACCACACCGATGCATTACCGTGGATGATATGTGAGATGACTGAGAGCAGTATATGTATATGGAAAGCAAAAGAAAACAGAACACCGAAAAGAGACAGACAGCCAAGCCCAGAAAGAAAAGTATAGCTATCATTCATCATGACAACACCCCCAGAAACTCCTGGTCTGAAGATGACGCAGCCTGATTAAGTTAAACATTGATGGCCAGCATGCAATATAGATGGGTTGAATTGGAGAAGCTTCTTAATATTGTCACGAGTGGTAGATTGTAGATGCGTCCGGGCTGGATAGCGGAGGGTTAGACATCCCCCCAAGACCCAACCCCGGCCCCGACGGGAGCAATAGCACTTCCGCTGTCTACACTGCCGCCAATGTCCCAATAGTTCCGGCTGGAACCGGTAAGAGTTCGGCGGCTGGAGATAGCAGACAGCTTCGCACTCTGACCGCAGCTAGAACTGGGACGGCGGAAATGCTGGCGCAGAAGAGGGGATGGTATACCTGTTGGGCCGGATTGATTGGTGGAGTGCTGGGACTGACGTCGAACTTGCGCCTGAGAGCGGGAGTGTGCTCGTGCCACCAGCGGGTGATGCTGGCGGATAATAGCAGCGCGTCGGGACGCATCTTGCGGGGGTCGGCGCGCAGGGGGCTGGTAGGCATCGGCGTTACTGCCCCGTTGACTGAAGCGATTGCGAAGATAGCGGAAGACCATCATCACATCCAGTTCCCGTTCCCAGTACTCCTTCTCCTGCTGGATGCGCACGGACTCGGGTAATGAATCTGCATTAGAATCCCGATTCAAGTCATCATCTTCAATACCCCATTGTGCGGCATGCTCTCGGCCGGTGGGATCCCGAAGCGTAGGAGAGAACTGTGGAGATAACACTGAATCGGTATTACTCGCTGGCACCTGCGACGCTGTTGGAGCAGCAGATACTGAACGAGCCTGAGAGTCACTTTCTTCTGGTAATGGCCCGAGAGACATTCCAGCGTATTGGTTGGGGATCTCGTCCGACAGGCTGAGATAGGATGTAAAGGCCCCCGGGTGTTCACACAGTTGATTAACAAGTGTTCCCAATTCATGAGCAATGCGTTGAAGCAGCTTGGTCTGCCAATTACTGTGATCGTCGGGGACAGAGTCCAGCTCCGAGTTAAGGGTTTCATTCATACGAACGGCATCATCTGTCCCAGCAGATGCATATCTCTCATTCTCTGGTAGGGAATCCCCGAAAAGAGCAAATAACAAAGAGTCGTCGATTCCAATGAGATCCCGGATGACTTTTCGGGTGATCTTCCGCCACAAAGACTCGTTTTCGTCCCCTTCTGATACTGTCGAGGGCGGTGACACAACTTCCCTAGACATCTCCAGAGTATTGTCAATACCTGCCACTCTGGTTTGCGAAACCATGGAGTCCCCCAGTCTACCGGCGCGGCTATGGCGGCGTTTTCGTGTCTCTTTTTCAATTTCCTGCAATAGCACTCGGCTCTGATCCATTCTCCACTTCTCGATCCGTTGCCATCGCTCGCGGTCCATGTCTATAGCTTCATGGTCGTCTACTGAGTCCAACTGACGTTGGACATTCGAGTACCGCCGGGATCCTAGCGTGGGCCGCCGGTGAGGATTATATTGCTCGTGCTGCCACAACTGGTCTTGCACCGGCTGGGCAGAAGCCTCGAAACTGCCTAGTCCATCATGGGCTGGGAGGACAGCCGGTGTCCCTTGGTCCCATTTTGCGGAAGGGTCTTCGTTCAACGAAGGTGCCCGAAAGGCATGCAAGCCGTCGTCCAGACTGTCTAACTCTGTACCGTCCTCATCCAAGGACTCTTCGAGGGGCTCGTCAGCATCGTCATTGTCCGGTCCCCAGGCTGACCGTGTCGGGGTACCAAACGAGCCAAAATCGCTCAGGCGGGAAGGCGCAACGGTTCTTGGGGTGCGTTCCGTGGAGGTCGTGTGCGTGCGGGCGTCGGCAGATGGTTGAGAGGGAGAGAAGAGCACCCACTCGGTGGATTCATTATCGGGCAGCTGAGACAGTCTGGGAGGGGCCTCAAGGGTGAGAGGCTGAGGGGGTTGCGAAGTTGAGTAGGAATGTTGACGGCGGGGAGCTTGTGGTGGTAGCCGAAAGGCCATCGTTGATCGGAGATGGTTGGAGGGGGAGAGATAAGAGGGGGTTTTATCGATCGCGGTGGATCTGTTCCCCGCGAAGTATGCTGTTTCTCGACAACGTACAGAGAGCAGCGATATACAAAAGGGGGAGGTGAAAGGCGAAAAAGACGTATGTATGCGTGAGATAGGTCTTAAAATAAATGATAAGAAAAAAGTAAAAAAAAAAGAACAAAACAAAAAAACAAAATGGACAGATAACAAGGACGGATCCAAGAACCCCCTTTGTGAGTGGATTGGTTCAAGATGCGGTGATCGGACGCGACCCAACCAGGTGGCTGGTGGCTGACGTTCTGATGTATTGTGTAGATTAAATTTCGGAAAAGAAATGACAAAGACCAGAACTGAAGAAACAATCAGAATAGCGTCTTTGATTCCCCCTCACTCAGTGAAATGGAGGTCATGAACAATAACCCCCAAGGTGGTCAACAAACGAGACGCAGCGGAAGAAAAAAGACGATGATGCAAGAAAACGGCAAGTCATCAGACGAGAGAGACGAGACGAGACCGGAGGATGGGCGCAAGTGGGTTTCGGGGGGATCCACTTGGAACAGGCAAAAGTTCCATATACTTTTGGTCGTGCATGGAAGTGGCTCTCCGTCCCAAGTATCGAGTACTTGATGAGTTTATATTCCCAAAGGACACACCCGTCAAGTACATCATCATATACTTTGGACTAGTCGTTGGTCGTTCCGTATGATACTGCGATCATCTGACCGCCAAATGGTGTCACTGCAGGAAATCCCACCACTGGACGGCCGTCGATACCGACTAGCCCCGTACGGTATGCGTTCCGTATTGATGGATCGGGTGATCGACCATCTGCTAATTTATCACTGATGAGATAAGGATGATTCTTTTCTAATTGCCAAACTTGCAATGTGTCTGGATTGCGAACGCAAAAACACCCAGCTTTACTGATTCTGATTCTTGAATTGCCACAAAGTACTTGGGGCCTGCTTTAACCCCTTTTTGAGTTTGAATGATTGATCATGACTTGATTTGTTCTTCTTCCAGGACAAGACGTACAAGTCCCACCCAACGCCCCGATGATATGATCGACCCCCAAGCGGGCTGATCTCAGTGACATGTCATCCTCACAGCAATGGTCTGCATCGCCCAATTCGAGGCGGACAACTGTCAGGGGTGGTACCTCCGTACCTCCAGCTGGACCTCTGTGCTTTCCATGGATCAGATGCAATGCGACGAGGTTAGCAAGTAGGGACTCACTAGTTCCATACGACTAGTCCATCCATCATGAAGTAGATAGTGGATTGATCCTCTCTTTCCGCTTTAGTGCTTACCCCTCGCCGCTTTTGGATGCCTGAGCTGAATGCACAAACATACGGAGTAATTACATTTTTGGATGCACAAGATCAGCCGCAAGAGATTTTCTTCTACCGAGTATAATTTGATAATTCCCTACTGATATTCCTGTCGGCTGTATCGCATAAAAGTGCCATCCTCTCCAGTGCAGCAACAGCATGTTGCAAAAGTAAGGCTCGCCCCCAGCAATATGTGACTGAGTCGGAGATGTATTACACAGCACTTAAGGTAAATGTTAATATGACTTGGGCCAAAGCCCACACTCATACGATTTACACGCAGTCACCTTCTTTAAGTCGAAGGTACTACTGTCGGAAGGGATTTGTGACTCATGGATGAAGCAGATTCTGTCCAAGATGGATCTACAGCCCTGGGCGCCAATGATGGAAAGTATGCCAGGAATATCACAGTAACGATCTGGGTATGGGCTCTATCGGATAAAGCACTAGGCTGTAACAGCATGGAGGTAACAAGAACACCGGCCTCATTCTATGGTCTGATCCTTTTGCTCATCTTCTGGTTTCCAACTCGTCCCTACACTACTCTAGAACTTGAATCTGGCCGCCTGTGCAGAGGCTTTCTTTACCCTCCCTGTTCTTTCATTCCGAGTCTCTGGTGTGGATCCGCATGGTGCGGAAATTGGAAGAGGGAAAGGATATCTCTTTACGGCAGAGGTCATTCCAAAGTAAAGTATACGGTCGAAAGTCAAGCAACCGGTTTGAAAATGGATCACTGAAAGCGGACAGTCTGTGTGGTGTATACTGTTCATTGGGTATAAATTCTACACCGGTAAACTGTCAAGGGGGCTGAACTGTACAAAGGCCCCCATGGTAAAGACAATAAGAACGTGGAAAAGGAAAATGAGGCCTACTGCCCAGCAAGCGCCTCTCCAACCCAGTCCATCTGCACTGCACTCACTCCTCGAGCGTAACTCCGATTCGTGAATACGTACTCGTTGTACATAATAGCCTCGACTTTCTTGCCAAACAACACACTGGACGGGTGAATCGCCACGGTTTGGTTCCCGACAACGGTCCGATAGCTGCCGTCCGGCACCAGGCGGGCGGTATTGGTAGCAAAGCCCCGTAGGAAACTCTGCAGTATGTGAATGGGCGACGGTTCCCGGGTGATAGAATTAGTCGAGGGACCCCGAGTATCATTCGGGGAAAGAAGTTTAGCTTGACGGCATTGAGTAGTGAGCTGCTTACGGACATCCTATAGATTACTTGGTTAATGGAATGCATGTTTCAATTGAGTCAACAGAGTCTTACCATTACGGCTTGCATCGCCCGATGCGAGACCATATGTCTCTCAGCCCACGCCTTACGATCGGTGTTCTCGGCGGCGTAGGATTGCACGGTGGCGAGCATGGTAAGATGATCGCCTTCTCTCCGATACAGATCCCGCCGCGCTTTCTCCGCCTCCTCTTTCTTTTCCTCCGATGTCGTGTTTAAGAAGATGGTCTCCACACTGAGGCACGAGATGATGTCGATCACATCGGATAGACAGTCTTCCCCATACTCCGATGCCGCAAGTAAGACCCGACCGAGAGTCGGAGTGAGAGGAAGCTTGGCAATATGCAGGCCGATCGAACTAACTCTGCCAGATTCTTCGAGCGCATCAATGCTCAGTAGCTGGAGAAGCGCTTTCTCCAAGGACTCCCGTGGGGGACGTGTCAGGAAGGGGAAGCCCATGACGTCGTCGACACCACGAGCCTTCATGTTGAGCAAAGCTTGACTCAGATCGCATCGTAGGATCTCTGGAGTGTTAACTTCATCCAACTCTAGGTAGTCTTTTTCAGTAAACAGGCGATAACACTGGCCCGGTGCCTCTCGTCCTGCACGGCCTTTACGTTGGATAGCAGCGGATTTAGAGATAGGCTTGACCAAGAGAGAGTCCAATCCCAGACGTGAGCGGAATTGCTTCACTTTGGCTTTTCCACAATCGACTACATACCGTACTCCAGAGACAGTCACCGAGGTTTCAGCAATGTTCGTAGCTAGAATGATTTTGCGAGTTCGAGGTGGTGCAGGGGCAAACACGCGCTGTTGCGCTGCCTGTGGAAGGGCAGCAAACAGTGGTAGAACTTGAATCTTCGGCAACGCAGGATCCATTCCAACGGCATATTCGTTCACCAACTTCTCCAAGTTTTCCACAGTCTCCTGTCCAGTCAAGAAAACTAGAATGTCTCCAGGCAATGGTTCCTTGTAATGGATGTTGAAAATAACTTTGAGGGCTGCATCAACAAAATCGTGTACTGGCTCAGGCGAGTAAATAGTTTTGACTGGAAACTGCCGACCCTTTATGTGGCAGACAGAAATTCCATCATCTTTCTTGTCAGAGCCATTCGTTATAGTCTTGGTGCTGTTCTGTGCTTCTTTCTCCGATCGTGAGCCTCCATATCCTTCCTGGAAGAAGCCGAGTAGGCTCTCCATATCTGCCGTAGCACTCATCACCACAACTTTCAGCGGCACTCCGCCACGCCCTTCTCTCTTCCCCGACACTAGATTCCGTAGGAATCCTAGCAGCAGATCAACATTGACACCACGCTCGTGCACTTCATCAACCACAATCGCGCTGTATTTTGTCAAGGAGGGATCGCGCAGCATCTCCTGCAGCAGCATTCCCTCGGTCAGGAACTTAACCCGCGTACTAGGTGAGGTAGACGTATCAAAACGAACGGAGTAGCCGACTTTACTCGCAGGAGACGACGACCCAAGTGGTGTACCCATTTCCTCCGCAACACGCCTAGCCAGTGAAATCGCAGCAACTCGTCGGGGCTGAGTAATGGCGATACAGCCGCCAACCTCTATTTCCTTCTGCGAACCATCCTCCTGGGCCACCTTTGTCTTTGTTGGCCGACACCATTGCTCATTGAACAGAAACTGGGGGATCTGCGTACTCTTTCCGCTACCCGTCTCACCAATAAGGAGCATCACATCGTTCTTGCGCAGGTGTTGTCGGATCTCGTCGGCGTGGGGGAAGATAGGAAGGTTCTTGCGAATTCCATACAACGTTTTCGCCTTTTCCTTCAATGAGTTGAAATTGGTCTTTGTATCATTTAGCGGCTTCTGTTTCTGATCCTTCTTCTTGTGTCTCGGCCTGTCGGATGCGACGTTCACGTTGTTCTTGCTCGTAGGTACATCTTTTTCGGAGTTCTGCGCAGGTGGCTCGGATTTGTTTTCTGCGGCTGCCGGTGTGGGTTGTTGCGAACTATCACTTGACTCGCCATGTTTCCGTTTCTTCTTCTTCTTCTTATCTTCTTCTTTGCTGGGATGTTTCCTTTTGACGGATCCTGTTTCGAGGTTTCCTTTCGCTATCGTGACCTTTTCTTTTCCATTGGCGGGTGTCTCGTCCGGGTCTTCGAAGAAGACTGTTTTCACCCGTTCGGGCATCGCGAGTAGTCCTGTAGGACGGAGGAAGACGGTCTAAGTGAGAAAATGATAATATCAGGGCTGAAAGACTCAAATGATGGTATAGGCTAGTCTAATTAGGTGCTCTTCATGTCGTCGTATCGTGTTGTTAAGGTGCTTTTGTCGGAGTTCCAAATCCCCGAAATTTTTTGAGAAGCTTATCGATAAGGACGCTTGGCGCGGAGACCTTTAACTAACAGTTCAACTGTGCTCTGTACTGTAGTCGCAAATATAACTAGCCAAGGAAGCTAAATGTCATGCTCATATTCAGTCGTCCATTCATATTTATCTTGTGTGTTTCCATTGTATATATTATAACCCAGTCTATAAATTCACAGACCTTCTTTTCCCATGTCATAACTTGTGTGCCCAAGAATTTATTCGATGTTTTCCCGTCATCTATACCTTCCCATCTATGTAGAAAGCGCCAGAGTAAAATTCCATGATTCGTTAATTCATACCCCATCCACGAACACGTCGAAAGACAAAGACGCGGTCATTGCGAAGACCATATTCGGACCAGTCATCATTGTGTTTGTTGTAGCTCCAATAGCCCTTCCATATCAATTTCGTGTTTTTTGGTGTATTGGTCGACTTATGCGCCGCAGATGACCGCAGTGACATGTGGAGAACATTGATACTCGACCGGCTTACACTTTCTGTCTCGATAATGACGTCTCTCGGATCAAAGGCATCGGCTGACAGGTCTTTGCCGCCATGAACCGAAGGAAGGCCAGTCTCTACCTGCGCCCCCGTCTCGGAGGTTGGAAAAGGATCGGCCAAGCGCCAACGACCCCGGCGAGCGTCTTTTAAGGCTCCCATTGCGACCGCAGGTGTTGGATCTGAGGCTCCCGCCACAGTCTTACCTGCGTCCAAAGGCGGACGTCGATGGTGCTTGTGGGGTGCCTGGGCTTCTATAACGTTTTCAATGCTAATGTGTGGGACCAGGTCCAGAGGTTCCACGGTACTGAGTAGGGCGATAACTGTGCCGTCCGGGTAAAATCGCAGGTATCGATAGTATGTGACTATATGGATCGGAGAATTCCACGTTACATTTTGGTAAAATGAGGCAGCACCGGCGCGAGTATAGTTGACTGTGCTAATGTAGATTCCTGTAAATCGAATACGAGGGAACATTTGAAAGACGTCGCTCCATGAGGAGAGCGGCTTAGGAACCTGTACAGCAGTGCCACTGGGAAACGGAGTGTAGCGAGAACGAGGGCTTAGTGTGTTCTCTTGGTTACCGTGAAGGTCGCAATCGAAAGCATAATGCATAGACTTGAAGCCAAATTCAGGGCCTTGGCAAAGTCGTTTCCATATATGCTGTTCGTGGGCAAAATGCCATGCAAATCGTTTGCAAACCAGTGACATCCGGGAGAATGCCGCTGGGTCCATTAATGCCACATGCCTCAAAATCTCGACTATCACCTCCGAAGGAACGTGAGCGATGGGACATGGGGGTGCGGGGTCACCCTCGAAGAGAGGCTTTGGTTGAGCAATGGGCAGGTGGGCAAAAGATGCAATAAGCTCGGGCGTCGGTAAAATCTCAGATTCCCCTTGAGTTTGTTGATCTTTTGAAGGTATGTTCACTGCAGGAGCTGGGGCTTGGGCAGGCTTTTTCCACGCCCAGGCAAAGTGCTTGTCCCGGTAAGTCTTGTCGACAGCCGAGTCCAACTATAAGAGGGGAATATCATAGCGGTTAGTCAAGATCGACTTAAATCAGGGGAAATAGGAATCATCACCTTGTATGCTTTGCGGTAAAGTTGTAGACTATCCCCCAACTTCCCCTCGGCCTCCCTCTCCACCGCTCGTTCAAAGTGCTCTAGAGCTGACTTAGGCTCCTTTCGTGTTTCTTGTGACTGAAAAACATCCTCATCATTGGTAATGCTTAGATTGCTAACATCTTGAATAAGTTCAGCGTTACCAAATGATGTTGCCCCTTCCTCGTCGTCTTCTTTGCGTAGCGATGCCTCGTGGCGAGTTGGCGGGAACTGACTCGGTCGTGCCCTAGAAGAGGGGCTTCTGATGTGTTTTGGTCGTGGCGTGGTAGGTTTAGTATGCTTCGTCCGACGGGCGACTTCCTCCCGCCACTGCCGTCGAAACGACTCTAGTTCAGCGTTGTCTTCCATTATCGCGACGGCAAGGCACCGTACAATGGCGGGCTGAGGCGGGTTCCTGATTGATAAGCACGGTAATGTCCGACAAGCACCGACACTCGATCACACCTGCGGGAGGCGGAGAGCAATATGTACCGCAATGATCGGAAACTTGCAGGTATTCACAGAACCCTTTCCCGTACTGCAATTAAACAGCGATCGTGGGAAATGCCTGGCTGATACTATGGTATCGATAACCTGGAGAGGAGAAAGTTAAGGTCAAGCGGCAGTTCGGCGCTATCTTATCTCCGGATCCAATCTTGCTCTGGCCCGAGCGCCACCGCTAACAACCGAGCCGGGGCCGTTCTTTTTCTTTGACTGACGCATTGCTCCCGTCGTTGTTGCTCCCCACCACCGGGATTTTCTAGATACTTTCTGCTCCGTAACGAAAGACCATTCCACTAATACCTCTTACCCGGAAGGGACGCGGAAAAGCGGCTATAGCGACACTCCTTGCTGTATCTTCCTAGCCGGATGAATGTCTGACTATAGGTCTGACATCACTCGCGGGGACCGATATCGCTCTGACCTCTTGACCACCGCTGGATTGGAAGGGAACACGGCAGAGTCATGGCCTTGGATTGAAGACAAGGCAATGGCGGCTACATCTGGAACAGGAAACACTCCTGCTCCGGACGCCGGTGGGAATAATGAACATGTTTCGATCATCCAGAAGATGGTTTCCGCCACCTGTGGCAGCGTTTTAACAAATCTACTAGGTATGTCAGTTACTGAATTTGAGCCCGAGCTCGCTCCCAAATACTCTGGGAGATGAATGCTATATATACTCACGATGTTGCATAGTGACCCCTCTTGACGTCGTTCGAGTCCGCCTACAGTCTCAATCTGCGATTAAGAATACGTCCCCTTTTCACCACCACACGGCGCAAACGTTGAAGAACATACCCCCGAATCTAGGCGTGACTGCATGTTGTCGTGAAGTCTTTTGGATTGGTCAGAATACTCAAGTGTGTATGGTTGGGCCCGGCGCAGGAGCTATTGGAACCCCTTCACCTGCTATCGCGGATTGTGCCGTGGAGGAAGTTCAGCGGAAAACGTTTACATCCACACTCGATGGCCTACGGAAAATTGCTCGAAATGAAGGCGTGTGGACTCTTTGGCGTGGGCTTAGTCCGACCATGATGATGAGTATACCGGCAAACATCATCTACTTCGCGGGATACGATTGGTTGCGAACCGATGAGAGAAGCCCAATAAAGGGATTTTTGCCAGACGCCTATGTTGCTTTTATATCAGGTTCTGTTGCAAGGGTTGCTGCAGCATCGGCCATTAGCCCGATCGAGATGTTCCGAACGCGCTTACAGGCTACCCCGGGCACCGGCGCAGGGCATTTCAAGGCCACTTTCGAGGGATTACACCATATGACCAAAACTCAGGGCTATAGTTCGCTTTGGCGAGGGTTAACGCTCACTATGTGGCGTGATGTGCCTTTTTCAGGGCTGTACTGGTGGGGATATGAGGAAGTAAAGAAGCATCTCATTGAGGCACGTCATAAAGCTCATGGCCACCTGTTGCCGACTGGACCATCCTCTGCGGGACATCAACATGAGGACGACATGCATACGCCAACATTCCTTGAAAGCTTCATCGCGGGTGCTGCGTCCGGCTCAGTAGCAGCATTTGTCACAACTCCTTTTGATGTAGGGAAAACACGCCAGCAAGTTTTTCGACACCTGGGGGATGAGAAGAGTAGTGTACCGCGGGGGTCTCTTCAGCCAGAACAGCTTTCCTTGCCTAGGTTCCTCATGCATATCTTCCGCGAGGAGGGTACGGCCGGGCTCTTTCGAGGCTGGGTAGCAAGGTGCTTGAAAGTAGCACCTGCTTGCGCCATCATGATTTCCACATATGAAGTTGGAAAGAAGATGGCAATGGGTGTCAATGAAAGACGTCATCCTGCGGAGGAACATTCGGACTCTGTATGAACAATTACTCAGCCAGCCTGACTTGCTGCTGGGATCGAAGCACGCTGCAACCGTACGCAACACTTTGTGTTTTTATTCGAACTCTTCAGCATGCCCTACATGTGTATGTGTACGTGTAGGGCCTTGAATACCCTCGGCAATATTCGTTATTGTTTAATTCTGTAGCAGAATTTCTGCTCTTTGTTATTGTTTTTCTTCTGACGATACCGCATGAGTTAAGTTATAGAGCATTTATTTGTACTTTATTGGGGTTGGAAATGGTGGTCTTTGTCACTACACTCCAAAAGCGCTGCATTCTGGTTATCGTGTACATACTTACATCTCGCAATAGAGCTAACAAACCCCCCTCTTTAGTGTATTATAGTGATTAAACGATCGTCAACATCTCCGTTACTACTAAGGTCCTTCCGGTTTCATGATACTCAGGGTAGCCATTGATATAAGGAGACGAACTTTTAATGTATAGTCAAAGTCTTGCTAGGACGTGTTTTTATTTGATATGAGGATTGTAGACTGTCATGTGCAGGGCAAGTCACGAGGTGGCATTGACCCCCGTGGATCCGAACTGTCGTTCTTTCCAACACTTGGGCCTCATGATTGGCGTCTCGATTGCTCTAGTCACCTTTAGTACGCTTCCTGATGAGGCTGAACTGCCAAGCTTCTGCAGGGCCCCAGGAAGCGTCAGCTGCCATGGATTTACATCGAGAAACAGAGGTGGGATCAGATGATGGCTGTCATCTAGCTATAATCATATCTTTTCCACCTCTAAAGTCGAAAGTATGATTCAGTATATTCTCTCTCGAAGAAAACAACAACCATGGCGATCAGCAGTGACACAAATAGTGAGCGGTCTATTCAACTCGAGACTGAGATAGAGTAAGTATCGTAGCTATCACTACCCACCTATTCGATATTTTTGTCTGAAGTATTATAGTGTTGTGGCGGTTCCTGCGATTGGAGCAGATCCGCAGAGAGCGTGGGTCGGTGATGATTTTCAGAAACCATGGCTCATTTCAGAACTGACACGATATATCCCCAATGCGCGGGTGTTACTGTTCGACCATGGGCCACTAGACCGTCAAGATGATCTGGACTCTTTGGCCCACCACCTCTTGAAGCAGATACACTCAGAAAGGCAACACAGTGTATGCAGCGCTTATCTATTACTCCACAAATAAATGAGATCAGTAACACTCTACAGAGCGGAAGGCGGCCCATACTTTTCATCTGCCATGGAACAGGTGGTCTTGTCGCCAAAGCAGCACTTGCCATTGCGGCACATTCAACATCGAACCTCGCGTCGATACTGACAAGCTGCTATGGTATTGCTTTCATGGCAACCCCTCACCAAGGCTCGAGCTATCTTTCGGCTCCTGAATATGCTAAGAGTATCCGCCGCCTAATGCAACTCAAGCATCATGTTCCGCACTGCATACGAGAGGTGCTGAAACCCAGACATCCAAGGCTGTTGCAACTATCCAATCAATTCAGGTCCTTATCTGCAGATATCAAGATATGGACATTCTTAGAGACAGTCGACTCTACACTCACCGTCGCGGATACGGCTACCGTAAGTTCTGTGGAAATGCATGTGCCAATCACCTCTATTCGGTCAGGGGTACTAGATCTGGAGCACGAAAAGGTGATCCCGTTAGCCACGGATCACGTTGGTGTAGCATCCTTCAAAGGACAAGAACACACAACCAGAATAAGCTTTATCAAAGAACTTCAGCCGATCGTCACCATGGCTGTGCAGCTTTCCAAGTTACCAGATGCTCCGTTGCGCGTTAGTCGAGAGGTTATGGTGCAAGTTAATGGCTTCTTCGAAGACACGGCGCGGGGAGTCAGCGATGAAACGCCTCTCAAGCTCTGGTCAACAAAAACGTCGCTACGGGAGTATCTAAAGGACGGGCCTGCAATTTGTCTCACAGATCGACTGAAACAGACCGGTAGAGTATCGTCCGGCTCAGTCGATGACTCCTCGATAAGTGATTTTGATAGCAGACCATCATCTGCCGCTATGACAGGTACACAGTTTGCTATACGAGATGGGGTATTGGAGGAGGCTAGCGCCATTCAGCATGAGACAATCTCATCAAGGCCATCTATAAGAAGAAGCCGCAGTTTCGTGGGCCGGATCTCCCCTAGGATTCACGTCACGGAGGCCGCCGCCGACAGTTTTTTTGATGTACCACAAGAAGAAGCAACGTCGGACATTCAAAGTGATACTGTTTCCAGTGAAGACCCAGGACAGAGAGACAGCGTAACTGATGAAAGAAAAGAGGCCACTGCTAGGAGCTCCAGTCCTAGCAACCAGGGAGAGCCCAATGTATTGTGAGTTTTGCGTTAACGTGAAAGTTTGATCACCGAATCGACTGACTAAACCGACGAAGAACCAGTTTATCATCGAAGTACAGAACTTTCCTTCCTTTACCACCGCCCACAAGGGAGCGACTCCAGGAAGTTCGAGCAGAGCTGCCTCGGAGAGCTCCCCGATTTGACCGACCAGAGCCAGGTAGCGAGAAGCTCTTATGGATTCATGTCCCATACACTCATACGGGATGGGTGCCTCCAGTCCTGTCTAAAGCTTGCAACGACCAGCAGAGACCAGAGTTGTACGTCCACTCCCTTTACATGAGCTACCTCCTCTGGCTAACGTGCTTCAATCGTCAATGCATCAGATTCAACAAGTTCATCAATGATAAAAACTGGTACTCGCAAATAATCAGAGCCCGCCATCTAGAGCCTCATGCGCGTTTTGTCCGTCCCACGTGTATTCATTCCAGGCTGAGTGATTCTTTACCTATCAACCCACCAGAGGTGCCCCGTGATCCTCAGTTAGCCTTATACGTAAGTCCAGCCGATTCAGTATTGGGTAGGATAGTGTACTGACGATATAATAGCTTCCTTATGTAAGTTCGGTTTACTAGGCGTATGATTTCATTGGCTAAGGTATGGTATAACAGCTTCATTGGGATACATACTGGAATCTCCTTCAACGAAGAAAGGTTATCGAAAAGCGGCTACAACAAGGAAGATCCAAGCCAGTCCCTGAGTACATCTCGGAGTCTCATGTAGAATCGAGATTGATATGGAAGTTCCTGGGCGCCGAGCCCCCTATCCATATACGAAGAACATTAGACCAGTATGGGTATCCAAATCTGCGGTCAACGGTAGCAAGAGATGACGATCAGATGCTATGGAAGCGGACTAGAAAAGTCGTCGATCTTAGCCACGAGATCGATAGCTCAATCCCTCTGCAAGACAATCCTGATTCTTCCAAGACGTTCATCGACGGAAAGGTTCTCATGGTTGATCAGCTCTGGCTCTGGGTCGTAGATGAGAAAACCGTCGTTACCTTTTTCCCTAAACAGGAGGCAACGACTGCAGAAGACAAGCTATATGAACAGGCGAATCTGCATAGCAGCATTTACAACGAGCTAAACGGAGACCTTGCAAGACGCTTTGAAACAGCCGGGGATCTCGCTGCATTGATAGTCTTGCATGCAGTCACTATCCTTCTGGACAGGACGCTGGATCACGATCTACAGATACTGCGGATCTTTGAGGAATCCATTAGCATCCTGGTACGCTATTTTCCATCGGCAACTTCAATACGAACGCTAATATCAGTAGACTGAATCAACCACTAAATCATTCAAACGCTTCCGCACCCGAGGATTTATCGCCAGGCCAGCCGATTACAACAGGACCCTAGAGGGCAGAACAATGACCGCATCAGAACGCGATGAAAGAGACCGTCGAGTAGCCAATCAAAACCGTGAAGATCTCTCTACACTGTTAGAACTGAGAGACATAATAGACGAACTAGGAACCATATCAAAACTTCTCGAACAGCAAACCGCCACCATCAAATTAATGGCGCAATACTTCGAAGACAAAGGATACGGGAAAGTCTTCATAGAATCCGCTCTCTCCCGACTGGAAGACTACCGCACCCAGGTCACAGATATGCGTGAGAACGCACATCTAGCACAGAAAGCCGTACGATTCCCCTATCCTCAACCATCCGGCTTACCTAACACCAGGTATTCTAGGTTGAAAACCTCCTCGACCTCAAGCAAAAGCAAGCAAACGTTGACGAGTCCCGTATAACACGCTGGCAGGCAGAAGTAGCCCAAAATCAATCGCAGTCTGTAATGGTATTTACAATCTTCACAGTCATGTCAGTCAACACCCTACCATATACTATCAGTCACCACCCACATCCTTGTACTAAAATAAAAACACAGCTTTCTCCCCCTCTCATTCTTTACCTCCTTATTCGGCGTGAATGTCCGCGAATGGAGCGGCGAAGAAACAAACCCCGACTGGGCGTACATGCTGGCAATATCAGGTGTGTCAACCAGTATAATCCCCTCTCAAACCCTATCCAGCACCACTAACCAATAACAACCTAAGGCCCAACATCCGCCGCAATAATTCTCATCGCCCTCTCCATGGCATTCAGTGAGCGTTTGCGTGATAGCGTTGTAAAAGCCCACATCATCGGCGTCGGCATAATCACAGATTTCTTCTTGCTCCCCGTCAAAGGCGTATTCAAATTAGGGGCCGCGGCGTCCCCGGCAAAGCCGACTCCAGGGCAATCGGAAAGTACCGGACGTCTTGACAGGTATTTGGGGAATAGACGGCATAACAAACAGTTTGAGGATGATATTTGGAAACGACATGAGGATCGGGTGATTTCACCGTTACCGACGGTTCATGTTTCTGACATGGACAGGATGATGGGGTTTGATGTTTCTGAGAAGGGGGGCAGATGGCAGCATAGTGTGAATGGGGCGTAGTTATGGTTTTTTCTCTTAATCCGATTATTTGTTTATGTTGGTTTGGGGCATACGTTGCAGGAGGTTAGATACTGCAAAGGTGATTTTACTGCCGGTACTCTTGTATAGACGGGCTTTGGGTAGATATGAGAGAAATGAAGTCGTTGACTGGGACTATCTAGACATTGGTTGACCTGATTCAGGCAGTATCACGTAAGGATCAAACACTTGCTCAAGGGAGGCATATCGCAATTGGGATAGTGTGATCTACAGTTCTATATGGGCCTTGGCTACGTAAAAAGACTTGTTCATGAACAATTATTGTAAATTGAGAACAGAACCACAACTACAAAAGCAGTGGCGTACGTAAAGTACATGATATGATACACAGGACTCCCTGAGGCTTTTATCCCGACATAGTGGAGTGGAGATGATATATAGGGGTAATGCAATAGAGAGGTATGAGAATAAGGATGATCGGGAGTAAGGAATTGGGTAGTGAGGACGTGCAACACATTAGGACAAAGGAGATATTAAAAACACAGAGATATCAGAATATGCAACAGTATGTAAAGACACGCTGGAAGAGGAAAGGTTAGAAACAAGGAGAGCTTAGGCTATAGCAGGCGCAGCGCTGTTTAGAACATGCCACCGCCCATGCCGCCCATACCACCCATGCCACCCATGCCACCAGGAGCGGCAGGGGCCTTCTCCTCAGGGGCCTCAACAATAGCGACCTCAGTGGTACCAAGGAGAGAGGCGACACCGCTAGCGTCAACCAGGGCAGTACGGACGACCTTGAGGGGATCAACAATACCCTTGGAGATCATGTCAACGTACTCGCCCTTGGAGCTGTCAAAGCCGCGGTTGAAGTCCTTGGCGTGCTCCTCAGTAAGCTTGCCAACAATGACGCTGCCCTCAAGACCAGCGTTCTCAACGATGGTGCGGGCAGGGCGGGTGATAGCATTCTTGATGATGCTGACACCGAGCTGCTGGTCGAAGTTGGCAGGCTTAACGTTGTCAAGGCCGTTGGCAGCAGCCTTGAGGAGAGCGGTACCACCGCCAGGGAGGATACCCTCCTCAACGGCAGCACGAGTGGCGTTGAGGGCATCAACAACACGGTCCTTCTTCTCACCAACCTCAACTTCAGAGGAGCCACCGACCTTGATGACAGCAACACCACCGGAGAGCTTGGCCAGACGCTCCTGGAGCTTCTCCTTCTCATACTCGGAAGTAGTGGGGTCAGCCATGACACCGCGGATCTGTTCGCAGCGCTGAGCAATGGAGTCCTTGGTACCCTCACCGTTCAGGATGATGGTATCCTCCTTGGTGATGGTGATGGAGCCAGTGGAACCGAGCATGTCAGGAGTAAGCTTCTCGAGCTTGATGTCGAGCTCATCGGTGAAGACAGTACCGTTGGTGAGGACACCAAGGTCACCAAGGATGCTCTTGCGGTTGTCACCGAAGCCAGGAGCCTTGACGGCAGCAACCTGGAGCTGACCACGGAGCTTGTTCAGGATGCAGACAGCGAGAGCCTCACCCTCAATGTCCTCAGCAATGATGACGAGAGGACGGCGGAGGGTAGTGGAGGCCTCAAGGGCGGGGATGATATCCTGAACAGCGGAAATCTTCTTCTCGGAAAGGAGGATCAAAGGCTTCTCAAACTCGACCTTCTGGGACTTGGCATCGGTGATGAAGTAGGGGGAGGTGTAACCACGGTCGAAACGCATACCCTCAGTGACCTCAAGCTCATCCTCAAGGGTCTTGCCCTCCTTAACGGTGATAACACCCTCCTTGCCGACTCTCTCCATAGCGGTAGAGATGAGCTTACCAACGTGGGTGTCGCCGTTAGCGGAGATGGTAGCGACCTGGGCAATCTCCTCGCCGGTGGTGATGTCACGCTTGTTCTGCTGCAGGTAGTCGACAGCAGCCTCGACAGCAGCCTGGATACCACGGCGAAGATCCATGGGGTTGCAGCCAGCGGCAACATTCTTGACGGTTTCGGAGAAGATAGCACGGGCAAGGCAGGTAGCGGTAGTAGTACCGTCACCGGCGAGTTCGTTGGTCTTGGAAGCAACATCCTGAAGGAGACGAGCACCAAGGTTCTCGAACTTGTCCTGGAGTTGAACGGCCTTGGCAACGGTCACACCGTCTTCATGTAGTCAGTATTATGCTTCGGCCTGGTTTGGAGGAAACGGTCGGGATGTAGCGACATACCCTTGGTGATCTTGGGAGAGCCGTAAGGAGTGTCAATCAAGACATTACGACCCTTGGGACCAAGAGTGGAAGTGACAGCCTTGGCAAGAGTGTCGACACCCTTAAGGAGCTGGGCACGGGCTTCGACGCCGAATTTGAGCTCCTACATTGCATTAGCAACCAGGAAACTCGGAGGGATACAGTCCCGGCGCTGTCGGGAGGCGTTGAGGATTCAGCCTGAGATAATACGCACCTTGTGGGCAAACCGTTGCTGCTGGAGGTTGAAGCCAGAGGGTCTGGAGAAGGGAGCGCGCTTAGAAGCGGCGGAAAGGACAGATGTCCTGGAGGAAAGAGCTCTTTGCATCTTGGAAGAGGGAAATAAGAAATTACAGAAACAGAGAGTCAATTGATGAGTGAAGTAAGTCTGCCCGAACAGAACTCCCAGAGCAAGGACGGGTGCAGAGGAAGAAAGAAGGGAAGAAGGAGATGGAGATGGGGAGATGAGGGAAAAAGAGATGGAGAAGGAGGATGGAGATGAAGCCAAAGTCTCGAAAATTTTCCAGGCGATTCTCGATCCCCGGATGTCTTGGCAAAAGAAGCTCCTAGAAAGGTCACGTGACTGGTTCCCGAGGGAATGTCTTCGGCTCGTCGGAAGCGGAAATTCGTATACATTACTAATTGCCGTTTATCGGCGTTGATGTTGCTAAATGTTCATGGAAAGGCAATGAATAACAAGTAAACAGAGGAGAAGAAGCAACAAGCGAACTGATCCCGTTCCGAGAAAGCACGAAGCGCATGCAAAAATATAAAACTGCAAAATCCGCGTAACCCCAAAGAATAGCAAACGATAGTTACTAATCGAGGCCAATGAATGTAAACCAAAACGCCGGCTTGGAAAGTGAAAGATTCCCATGTCCACATGGATAGCTTGGACTGGTCAAAACAGAACCTGCAGTACCAAAACCAACCCCTCAATCCAAGAAGACTTCATATAGAAATCAAGTCAATAGTACTGTACTAAAGTCGCACCGAACCAGAGGGGAACGACAACCAGTCGGTGTAGTTATGCTGTTTGAGGCTTATTCAATCTTCATAACCAGATTATCCTGAGTCTCCATGGCCAAATCCTCATTTGATTCAACATAGTTACCGTGAAGGTACTGGTAGTTCTCACTATAAAGGGCACCACCAATCGAGTCATCAGTGGAGTGGTAATAAGCTGGATGGTGGTAGCCAGCATAGGTTGCATTGTGGAAGTCTTGACTTTCCCCAAGTGAGGTCAGGTTAGTGACAGCGTCTTCAGGAACACCTACAGACATGCCCATGATAGGGTGATATCCATGCATGTAATGGTTCTCCATGTCGAGACTAGGTTCTAGTAGCTGTTGATAATGAGCTTGGTAAGGCGTATTGCCATACGCGTTGACAGCTGTGGCTACTGAATGCGCATACGCCGTAGTAAAATCATTATACACATTGCCAACTGGCTGTCTGTACCTCAGAGTGACCAATTTGCTTTTAGTATTCTCTGACGCACCGGGGGATATTGTCTCTGACGGTAGTTCTTGTTCGTTTGGATATTGGAGAAATTCAGCCCCAGGGACCAACAGCTCTCCAAGCCCATCATTACTGTCATCCATCTCCTCATCGTCACTCTTGATCGGAATGGCTTCACGTGGCTGAGGTTTATGTGGTTGCTTCTTGGGTCGACTCTTGCGGCGACTTTTGTCGATATAGTCTTCATCGGACGAAGTATCGTCATGGAAACTCATTTCTTGACGTTCGTCTTCTTCGCTTCCTAAACTATGAGGAGCACTGAGATAGGCTTTGGCTCCAGCCGCAGCTCTGGTGGGCGCATTGCCAGAAGACTTGCTCGATGAACCCACACCACCACGCCGTAGGGGAGGAGGGACTTCTTTGCCAGCATCGACACGACGGGACCGGAGCTTTGCTAGATGCTGGACGATAGCCCCTTCAGTGACATTGTTTTTCATTGTACTGGCAACCTCGGACCAAGGAATCCTGATAGACTGGTTATTGCAGACCGACTGGACGGTCAGTAGAAGAAGCTCGTTTAGATTATCTAACAAATCGGCGTCAACTCAATCAACAAATAGAATTAGCGTCTCCCAACCAAGGAGATACGTACCGTCCCAGCGGACTAAGGTGCGCTTCTTCGGTCTGTTCAAGGCTCTCTTGGAAGGGCTCATATTACCCTGCTAGCATGAGAGACTGCAAGTTACATCAAAAAGTGAATAACTAGCACCTGTGACTACCCTTGTCAGATCTCTTCTTCACATGCAGTCACTAGAAAGGGTGATGTGCAGAGTCAGAGTGTACGTTGTACTGAGCTGTTATAGAAAATAACTGAGTGGAACAAGATACGAAAAAGGGTGAGGTAAAGTTAGAAACAGTATCTGATAAAAGTATATTGGTAAATATCCAGATATGAATATATCATCTGAGATACATAGACAGTAAGTGAAATCTACAATCCAAGACAGTATAATGGAAAGGTACATCATTTGTTTGCATGCTTGTAGACTGGTACTTAGCCGCGCAGCCGCAATCACTATACAATATACCAGAACTAGCAAAATTAGATAGATACTAGGTAGCTGTGTCATTATCTTCCTAGATATATAAAGTAGAGATTTTTATATCTGAAAGTAATGCATATATTACAAGTTGTTGTACCACTTTCACTTCTAGTTAAACATCTAATATCTAGCTTGTGCAGCTATCTCACATACATATTTATGTCGAGAGGACGCCGAAGTAGAAAAGAAGCTCTACAAACTTGACATGGACAGGAAATCTAACAG